ATATATATATATATATATAATCCCTACGTTATTACGCTGATGTTGCATTTCATAATCAAACTCATTTGGAATCCGCATGTAACTACATCTGTCTGCAAAAACAAAAAGAATTCGCCTTTTCGCACAGCCATTCTACTTCTGAGGTCTGCGGTTGTAACCCTATACATTTATTTCATTCAAATCTGATGTTACATTTGAAAAACAAGTCATTTAAAATATTCACATATGACTGTAATTAAATCCCCAATAATACGAATTTGAAAAGTTATTTAAAAATCGTTATCACGCAATCATTCCACTTTTGTGAGATGCTAACTGGAACTAGACAATCCCGTGGGTGCATGGTGGTTTCATGAAGATCCGATGTTACGCTTCAAAATAAAAGTATTTTAAAATCTGTACAATACTTTCATCAATCCATCCGTTTTCAAAGCCGCTTTTCCTATTCAGAGTCCCGGGCGGCTGGAGCCTTTCCCAGCGGACTTTAGGTAAAAGGGAGACTACCGGCCATAAGTGTTCACCAGTAACTCACAAGGCACTGTGCACACATAGATGGACAGCCATTCATGGGAATTGAACCCACAAACATACCACTGCACCGTCAGTGAAATAATGCATTCATTTTTTCAAATCTGGAAATAGATCAGTATCTGACTGAAATCTGGATGGTATCATGGTATAGTCTTTTTGAAACATTTCATTTACATTGTACAGTAGTTACAATACTGTATCCTGCCATTGGCTGGCAACCAATTCAGGGTGACCCCGCCTATTGCCCGACGACAGCTGCAATAGGCTCCAGCACGCCCTGCGACCCTTGTGAGGATAAGCAGATCAGAAGATGAATGAATGGATGGATTTACAATATCGCCACTGACGGATGGACATCTAGTAGCCAGTCCCCACAATTTTGTTCACACATTATTGATCATTCCAAAGTGTTGAAAATGGCTCAAACTCTTTGACGACAAAACGTTGATAATGACTTAACAAACATGCCATTTATCTTTGTGAAAAAGGAGGGTTTTGTGCAAGTATTTTGCCTGGCACCAGTCATATGCAGATTTTAATACTTTTATTTAGAATTAGATCAGATCCAACTAAAACCGAGCTCCTTTGTACCACCCCATGATAGTCTAGATTTCCCAGAAGTGAGATGGTTGCGTGATAATGGACTGATGATTTTATCTACTCAAGTCATTTTACATCAAAAGCATCCTTGTAGAGCATACGTGTCAAAGTCAAGGCCCAGGGGCCAGATCTGGCCCGCCACATCATTTTATGTGGCCCGCAAAAGCAAATCAAACATGGCAACTTCCATGATGCTTGCTAAAATATGTACCAAAATTTCAAATTCTCGTATGTAATAAATAAGAGAGACATTGTAATCATTTTCTTGTTGCCAAACACCTCATTAGAGTGACTTAAACAATAGTTGAATAAACTGTTTTTCTTGACTTCTTTTTATGATTTCAGTCAAAATGGCCCTCCAAGGGAAATGGTAACTAAAATGTGGCCCGCAACGAAAATGGTTAGACACCGCTGTTGTAGAGTGTCCATGCATTTATTTTTCAGGCTTTTATTTTGAAGGTGGCCCTCGCAGGGAATTGGCGGCTTCTTACCGTAAAGTAGACTGCGTCGTTGATATCGACAATAAGTGGAGGCTAGTTTAACTTAACCGTAGTACTGTATTTAATTTAAGTGTGTATTGGCCCGAATGCAGGCTTGAACACTCGTATAACTGTCTCATCTGACAGCGCCGTTGTCCAGCCGGCGTGCACAATCGGCTGCGTCGCAAATGGAGATGCTTGCCGTTCTCTTTCTCATACTATTATTTTGTAGTCTTATAACTTTACATGATTTGTTTAAACTCGCAAACCGATGACTTCACTGCGAGGCATCTTGATTATTTTACTTGGTGTTCTCCATTTTAAATGGTGCGCTTACTAGACTATAGTCCTTACCCCATCTACTTTTCAATATGTCAGCTATTATAAAATATTCATTAATAGTTTGGGAGATCAGGCTTTTGGGTGAGATTTCAGGATGACCCTAAGATTCACTACAGCCATCACCGATTAACTTAAATTGACTTCCTTCAAATTTTTAATGCACATGTCCAACTCTTCAATTTTCTATGATTTTTGCCCAACTTTCTATTGTCTTACAAAGAGGCAATTTCCAGGGATGTCAATCAAAGATGTCGTGACACTTGGTGGTCATTCCCTCTGATAATGTTCAACACCAGGAAACGTAGTGGTCTATTCAATGGATTAAAAACCTGTTCTTTCTTGTGAAGAAAATAAAACCTGCAAGTTGTGTAAAAAGTACTAAATCTTGAACAGTTGGACATGTGCATTCAAAATTGTAGAGGTCAAATTAAGTTCACCTTAACAGGTTATCATGCATTTTAGTTTCTTCCTGAAATTTCACCCAAAGGCAGAATACCCCAAACTTATTCCAAGATTTGGGTTTAACATGGAATATCAGCGCAGAACTAAAGTCTGAACTTCCCAAGTGCAAAATAAACATGTTCTAAATCCTTACCAGAAAATATTGGATGTTGTTAGAATGCGTGACTGGAAAGAATATTTCCTGGAAGCAGCATACAAATAGCAGATGTCAGCATGACATCTGGAAGCAAGATACATTAATTCCATTACCAGATAACGTTTGGGCATAATGAAAGGTATTAAAATACACAAGTCACGGTGTGCAAATTTATTGAGCAACACAGCAAAACATAATAATTTATAAGGGTGACACCACTGGTTGAAAGCTTGTGTTGAGAAGAGAAACAGCTAGATGAACACATTGGTCAGGTCTGCCTCATTATGACATTTCAAAACTAAAATTGTTTATTTTTGGAGTATTTGTGATTAAACAGCAAAAAAAAAAAAAAAACAAAAAAACAAAACAAAACTTAATAGGTTATATCCTATATTGACGCATATAGTACACAATATGATCAACGGCTTTGCTTTAAAAGAAAAAAAAAACCTCCACTCATAAATTCATCACTATTCATCTTGGGCCTCTTTATGTGTTTTGGGACAGAACACTTGATTTGCAATTTCCTTGTAAAAGCGAATGACAACATTGTCATCCCACAACATGCATGCAGAATAAGTGAAAACACTGAAATGCGGGGATAAACATCATACAACTGTGACTTTTAAGTACAGTAGAAAAAAAAAAAATTAAAAATATTTGTAAAAATCCACGAATATTCAAATCCACGGGTGCCCAAGCAAAGGTATTCGGGGGTCGATTGTATGCATCTATCTATTACTAATACAAGATATCCACACAAAATTACATTTTCTCATTATTTTAAGAGCAGTCATCAGAAAAATGAGGTGACGAAAAACAGCGGCCTTTACAATTAATTTGTGGTGACCCAGTTTCTTAAAATTCAATCTTCACAGCTTTTACCGTATATTTTAAATTGCCAAAATCTTTTTACAATTCAAGGTCACAATACGAACAAACAAAAAATACCGATGTGTGTCTGTGTAGATTGTCATGTTAATCTGCAAAGCTTGAATTGAAGCAACTGTACTCTCATCTGTTGAATTACCGGTAGCTGCGTTTTCATCCTTGTTTTTTGAAAATGTTGCAAAATGACTGAAGCAATGACGCTATTAGAGTAATACATTGAAATTTAGATCAAGTAAAAATCTTGACGATTCAGAATTGCCTCAGTGCTATTCGTTCTTGGACATTTTGGCAGCATGTGCGTGTATTATCATACACGCCAGCAAACATTGGGTCTGATCAGAAGCTAGTTTAGTATTCACACACAATGTGGACAGACAGGTAAAAAGGTTCACCATTTCAGATGTCATGAAGGTTAACTATTGACCATTGACCTTACAGCCATACTGTATTTCCCAAACATGCCTTTATCTGAGGTAAGAAACAGAATAATTTGGGAGTGGAGAGAACGAAAATATCACGATACCCGTGCAAGCCCTGGATAATCTGAGCAGGCATTGTATTTTTGTGATGCACTCCAAAATAAAATTGGTCTTTAAAAAATATAACCGGTAATCCAAAAATAAAAGGTCCTCTTCATGCCTTGTACTTCTCCTTCCCTGTTTCGCTAATGACGCAGATATGCTGAAACGCAAAGGAAGCCAAAAGTTAAGAATTGTTAAAAGCTCTGGAAAAAAAGGACAGACATTGGAAATGTAAGTACAAGGAAATGCACAGATAATAGCTTATCATCACTGTCTCTTTAACATGATATTTTCTCCTGTACTTCCTCTTTGGACCACACTGCTAACAAACGGAAGATGACATCCAGTCGATGTTACTTTGAGTGACAACAACCTTGCATGCCATCCTGTTTTAAAGGCGGGGACCCTGGCGGTCTGATCCTCGGCTGCAGAAGCTAGCACTGTGACCTATATATATATATATATATATATAAAAAATTGATATTTTTGGTCAGCATAAGAAAGCAATGAACTGTCACTAGACAGCGGCAATATTTCATTGACAGAAAATACATACTCACATTTAAATCTCTAAAGTACTCGTTGTAGTCTAGTGCATATCCCACCACAAATTTGTCAGGGACCTCAAAGCCTACAACTGAAACACAGAGACAAAATATGTTAGACATCTCAAATCACCAAAAACACGTGCCTGTTGTTTTGAAACAAACAAAGTTTCAACTCACAGTCTGGTCGGTACCCAACACTCCTTGGTGTCCTTTTCACCAGCAAACTACATGGAAACAAAGTTAAAATGATGTCATTGAATAATAAAGGTATTTAATGAAATAAATATTGAGAAATAGGTTTTTTTTTAAAATAATTCAACCTAAACTCTTTACACTTTTTTCCCAATGTGCCAGGTTAGTTATGACCAGAAGTATTTGGATATTGACAGGTTTGTCGCATTTTACCTTATACACCAGAACAATGGATTTGAAATGCAGTCACACTTCGGTCCACAAACCGAATTCCTTCAGCAAAGTAATTTTTCTCATACAAATGAATGGAGGTGGGATTAAGCCCCACAACTAAGTAATGTTGACCTTGTTTTTATAAGTTTCCTGATGTCCATGTATCGGTATCTTTGTTTATACAATGATGGTAATACTGCCAACTGATTATTTTGGTCACGATAATTGTGACATAGAATTTTCATCACACTTTTGTCACTTTTTGGTTATTCCAGTAAACAGTTCTCAAATGCCAACTCAAAATTTTCACGTGTCTTGACGTAACAAGGGAATGAATGCATTGCAGTTGGATAATTAATTCTTGTTTGGTAATGGAGCTACTCAAAACAGTACACTGTCCAAATACTTTTGCCCTTAACCGTAAGCACATGGTTTCTTAGTTGCACCGAGTAGGGATTTACCTAACCTTGCCACTTTAACCATCTTGGGATTGTACTGTTTAAGGAGTTGCAATAATGTCTTCATTGTCTTCCCAGTGTCGATAATATCCTGAGGGACATTGCAAGAGAAGCTCATATTAAATGATTCAACTAGAAAGCGAACTACAATAGTATCGAATACAAAATAAAAACATACCTCCACAATCAGCACATTCTGTGGAAAAGAAATTAAGTTGAGTTGAATTGGAAACATTTTATCTTCCCGCAACCCTAGTGAGGATGAGCGCTTCAGAGAATCAATGGACTCAACATTATCTTATCTTAGCGTGCAGACTTGGTTTGATTCCTTTTCTCTGTGTCGGTGTATTGCACAGTAATGCAGGGAAAGCAGGCCAATAAGTGGCATTTATAATATTATTTGAAGAAACACTCACCTTGCCTGTCAAAGTCGACAAGTCATCTCCTCCGATGACTTTGATTTCTCCTGTTGACTGGTCATTCTGCACCCATTGCAGATGAAAAACGCACGGTTTAAAAATGTGAGGTTTTTAGGCAAACAAAATATTTGATAAAAATTAATTACACAGTAGCTCTTGAGGCGAATGAAGTCCACCGTCATAGGGATGGAGCGGTCGCTGTTCCTGTTCAGGGCCTTGATGTAGTCTAGCAGGTCTGCAAAGAACTTGTAGCCCCCTTTCAGCACACAGAGGGCAACAATGTGGTGCCCTCCCATTTCCTTCATAATCTCCCTGGCCAATCGTTCTGTCCTGGGATCACATGAGGGAGAGGGACCGAGAGGGTGGACAGCTCAGTTTTCTGCTCTACTCACAGAAGGTTCCACTTTTGTTTTGTGTCAGCAGGCGTCATTTCTGAAGCTCAGCCAGAGGCTCGTCCACAACACCAAACTTAATTTCTATCCCTTTGACTAAAATCAAGCATGATTATGTTGCTTGGTATCAATATAGCAAAAATGTATCCATAAAACATAACTTCTCTTTCTCACGGACCCCGTGAACAGCATGACTATTAATGTTTTATTTTGCAGTGCTTAGTTTGCCATGACCGGCAATTCGCCACCTAGCGTTATTTTCCTGTGAATCATGTGAGAACTTGGTCGAGAGCAGTCATCAACACACCCCATCTCAAAAAAAAAAAAAAAGGACCTTGTGTAAAGCACAGCATTTTAGGAATTAAAAGACACATAATACTCTTTGCAACACCTAAGATTTGAACTACAAACATACAGTATTTATTGAATAAGAACTGATTTAGACAAACCACATTTTAGCATTAGAGGCTGACATTAGCTGTCATATTTTTGCAAGCTCTTGAAAAACGTGTCCAAAAATCACCTGTCCAAAATCAGTCCGTGTGGGATGTAGACCCTCTCCAAGTCAGATGCATAGTGTTTTGGGATGCAGAACAGATCCAGATCGTACCCCTGCTCATCATCGGTGATCTGAAAGGAAGCAAGAAACAGGGGTGTTCCCTAACATTAATCTGAGAGGAGGGCAGGACAAGGTCAGGTGACTTGGTCATTGGAGCTTTACTTTCCCAAGAAAAGGTTCCAACTTGTGGAATATATAATATGCAGACTTTGACCAAGTCCAAATGATTATAATTTGAAAACTCATAATATAGTCTATACTCATACTGTCGATACTAACAATTTATGGCGGCATTTTACCACTGAATTACACAAATTGTACAGCGTAACACTGGTAACAAACTAACAAATGAGTCTTTTTGCAAGAGGTAAAAACTGCACGCTTCAGCCTGCAACAAAGTTGGACTTGGCTGTAAAAACCAGAGAGCCATGTACAATTTAGACATTGTGAAAATATCAAGTGGGACTGGAGGGGTTCCGATTGCAACCATGAAGTGTCTACACCTTAAAGCTATACTGTACATGAATTTCCTTTAAAACGCAATACGTTTCCTGTATTTGGTCACATATCCACTAGCGCTGCACAACTGTTTGCCTTGATGAAACCAGACGACAGAACTGGTGTCATGTGAAAGCTGAGAAGCTGGTGCAGAACTTGAGGTACCTTGGGAATAATGCGAGTACTGTAATTACAAGCAGGCTAAACCTTTTGACGGTAGTAAGTAATGTAAACCATGAGGTCAGAGGAGTCAAGCGTCCGCATCTGCGTCCTAACGGAAAATGTGGTTGAGTTGTACAAGGGTACAATTAAAGCATATGTGAAAGCTGCAAAAAGCATGCCCATCTGTGTGGGCTACACACTCGCAAATGCAGATAACAGTGACACACAGCAGATGTCCCTCAAGGTCACATGATCTGAGAGAGTGTTCCCCCCACGCCCCCGCTGACATAATACGCGGTGAACTTCTGGGACAACTTTGAAGTTTGTACAGGAAAATTCCATGTTCGGCAATAGTGTACTTAACAGCACTTGAACTTGTGATACAGTGATACAATAGTGTACTTAACAGCACTTGAACTTGTGATACAGGAGCACTCTTACATGAATGTACAAACCCAATTCCAGTGAAGTTGGGATGTTGAGTTAAACATACCGGTACATAAAAACAGAACACAATGATTTGCAAATCATGTTAAGCATATTTAATTGAATACACTCCAAAGACAAGCTATATATTTAATGTTCAAATGTTTTAAACTTTATTGTTTTCGGCAAATAATAGTTAACTTAGAACCAAAAAAGCTGGGACATGTTTAACACTGTATCACATCACCTTTTCTTTGAACAACATTCGAAAAAACGTTTGGGAACTGAGGACACTTGTCAGGGTTATCAATTCGACATTCATAAAAAAGACCCAATGCGGAGAGGAGACATTGAATTGTTGAGGCTTTGTAAGTGGAATTCTTTCCCATTCTTGCATGATATCCAGCTTCTGCTGTTCAAGAATCCCAGTACTTTGTTGTCATATTTTACGCTTCATAATGCAGCACACATTTTCAATGGGAAACAGGTCTGGACTGTAGGCAGGCCAGCCTAGTACGCGGGCTCTCGCACGCTGTTGTAACATGTAAGGAACGTGGTTTAGCAGTGTCTTGCTGAAAATAAGCAGGGGCATCCAAGAAAAATACATTGCTTGGATGCCAGCATGTGTTTGGGTAAAACCTACATGTACCTTTCAGCATTTACCAGTCGTCAAACTCATCAAGTTTTTCTTTAGTCAAGTTTCAACAAAACATAATTTTAATTGTCTTTAAGCGGGTCAGATAATGGATGTACATACATTGTCACTGATGAAATAAATGAGTAAGTAGGAATTCTCTGCTCCTTTTGAAGATGCTTTAATCCATCCAGCATACTCGCCTGTGTTTGTCCCCCATTTTAGTAGATGGCTTCCATGGGCGAGAGTTTTTCTCTTTGTATGTCCTGCTTCATCCATATTTTATCACATTTGTAACAACCCAGTCCATGGTCACAAGCAAAAACAGTCACAAAATCGAAGAAGGGGAAATAATTTTGATGCCTTTTCCCAAAAGCAAACAGATTCGTAGTGTGTTCCCAAGATATGCCGAAACCGTACAACTTCAGTTATGAGAGTACTGTCAGAAGGCTTGGCCTCAGGCACAGATCATGGGTTTTCCTAACATCATAATGACCCAATATATACATCCCAAAAAAAAAAGAAAAAAAAAAAGAAAAAGGCTGAGAGCAAAACATTCTTCTAAAGTGGCCTTCTATGCACCCCGATTGAACATCTGTGTAAGACACCCTTCAAACTTAAGACAACTGGAGCAGTTCGCTCATGAGGAGTGGGCCAAAATACGACAGGTGCAAGATTGGTGCAACAAAATATTCAAGGCCCCATCATTTGTGTCCAGGCCTGATTTATTCATTTTCTTTTGAAAAATGATTCTGTTTAAGCCACAATTCAAAAGCAATGTATTTATTTTGTAACGTATTACTGTATTATCAATTCAGAAGCAACGTCCAAGTTTATTTGGCTAGTTTTAAATATTTATTTTTAAATGTATTATTACGTTTGTCAGTAGCATCTTTTTTTCAGTGCCAATTATAGATCACATCCGTTGCATTATTAATATTTTTGTTGTCTTCTGTTAAGTGCTTTGTTTCAGCTGCAGCTGTTGTGAAAACGCTGTACAAATAAAGATGTATCGTATTCTATTTCTTACTAACAATTTTGTCCACGAATGTAAAATACAAGACAGTGCTAACGCATGTAATGCGAATGATGTTTGTACAAAGCATGATTCACAAATGTATCATTTGTACAAGTTCCGGTCTTGTAGCTTGCAGGTTTCTTGCCACCGGCTGTTACAGGGTATGATGGAGTCATAATGTTGATTTATTGTGGAAAAATCCGCACGAAATGGCACTGTGGAGGTCAAACAATAAATTATATTTTAAAAAGACGTCTGAGTGACGTATACAAAGGATAGTGGGCACGAGGGTAAGCGCTTGAAATTGCTGAAACGGTGACAAATACGAAACACGTTAGGACGAGGCGAATTACAACCACAGTATAGATGACATACACGGACTTAACAAAACACACGAGTAACGCCCTCGTTCGAGCCGCGGGAGTGCGCCCATATGTCGACTGTATGAGCATGCCGACAAGCTTTTTGTGAGGCGAGAGGGAGACCTACCACAACACACTGGCCGGATGTCGCCATGTCTGTTCCCGCCTGAGCTTCCCTTTGGTGTACGGTGCGTGTTCCCCGATATTACGGAGACAAAGATGAACAGTTCCTAACGTTTCAGTCCCCTGTGACAAGTCACATGGAGAAGCTAGCTGCGTGCTCTGCGTCGCTACTGTTGCTGTACCCTTCCTTCTCACTCTTGCTGCACACGTGACGTAACTTACTCCACTCGGGTGGAGCCAGGAGGTTGCCACGATGACGTAACAACGAGGCGTGCAATCAAACAGCAGGATTTGGGAGACTCGCCCCCTTTTACAACGAACGCAAATGTGAGGCTTTTTTTGGCCAATGTTGTACTTGGGCTGGCAAAAGTACCCTGCCCTAGGAAGAGGAAAATATTTCGCGCCCTTTCAACTCTCTACCGCGACTATGATATCATTTGTCTGCTAATAATATCCTTATTAACATCAAAGACAACCAAAAAGGAAAATGAAAGAAAAATGACATAAATAGATCAACTTATATCAAAGAATAAACATTGTTTTTTTAATCTTTCTCCTCCTTTTTGTTTTCATCCCTGTTAAATATTTTTCATAATTTCTTTTACGAAAGGGTTTGTTCACTGCACTTCGTATTTCCTGCTCTGTGCTGTGGGTGCACATGCTCGGAAAAAAACCCCCAAAAACCTCCGCCTCTTGGTATTCCAGTTTATGCCAGGGCGACAAAGCTCGCAATGCACTTGCAATGCATCACCTGCCCTACGCATTGTGTCCTGCAGTCAGCACATGCTGCGAAAAAGTGGAGAAAGTGATGATGCTCTAGAATGCAGCACTCATTATCTTCCGTGATTAGTCCGCTTTGTCACATGCTGTGATGAAGTGTTACTCAGTTCTCACCTGCTTGGTTCCTCACAACAAAAGGGCGTTCAAAGACTGAACTACAGAAAACCACAAAAATGTTCTCCGACAAACTTTACAGTTTGCTTCATAGTCCTCTCAACTGACGGTGTCAAACCATGGTTTTGCCTCGTCCCACTCTCGTCTCTATTTTTGTTGTAGTTTCAGCATTTGAGGTCAAGCTGGAGTCTCGGAGTATCTGCCTTACTCAACATTTTTAAAACCCATGGTGCAGCCTGGTGTTGAGTGTGCAGTGAGTGCACTACAGTACTAGGCAACGATCGTGACAGACAGAGGCAGCGCAAAGGGGTGGGCTGTCTGCGTGCAGGCAGACAGACAGAGGATTTGGCACAGGACAGAGGAGAATGTACCAATACCACTTTGCTGTCTTTAATATTTCCTGTCTTCTACCTTGTTCATTATTGTTAGATTCACTCTTCGCATTTCTGTGTGACAGACGCATGGGACAACTAGGTAAATATGGAAGAAATGGCGTCCCATATTGGTTCAGTATGGGAAGCATTTTTGCCATACATCTGGTTCAGAAGTGCATGGTACTGTGTGGCCCTCCATTCACACTGATGAAAAATCGTGGCCCCATCTAGCATTTAAGTTGCCCATCCAAACCCGACTGTATATGCTGGGGTTCATTCACAACTTCATTATCCTACCACTATTCTAGATCCAATCCCCAAAACGGAACATTTAAGTGTTGAACGGAAGAACCAAACAAATATGCAAAGAGACATCTGTGCATTTACATGAATTAAATGCACAAATCAATTTATTGAAAATACTAAAAAGGCAGAATGAATGTTCCAGGTGAGCATGATAAGCTTCAGTCAGATTCAAGAATGTAAAACTAAATTCACAAAGATACACAGTGACTTCATGATACTTTGGCTGGTGTGACATTCCTCTCTTGGAAGCGGAGCATCGAGTTACCAGCTACATGAAAAGTTTTTTTTTCTCCAAACACTCAAATAAGAAGACCACATTTTTTTTCAGTAAACATGTAAAATACAAAACATTTTCTATTTCCAAAAATGATTGGATATATTTGTAGAGATACATGTAACATCACACCAAAGTCAAGCCAACTTTCCTGAAGAGCTGTGTACTGAGCTCTTTTGCGGCTAAACAGAAAAACAAGAATCCACCATTAAATGTGGACAAATGCAAGTGCATGCCAGTAAAACTTGGACTTGTGACCATCAGAAATCCACACATTCAAAATTACTCACGATGATTACACAGTAGCAAATGTGTTACGTATCAAGAAAGAAAGGCTAACATGAAGAGATTTCGAAAAATATGATGAACAAAACAAAATGATAAAACTGCACAACTTGGGAGAGACTGGTGACAGGTATTGCAGTGAGGGAAAAGGAAGAATATGGTTTCATCAAGTGCAGTAGTCTGTGGGGTGGCAATGAGAACTTCAGTCATGACAAGTAGCAGAAAACGGTTGAAGATATGTCCACATGACTCTCTTGTGAAAGTTAACCTTTGGCTTTTCAACACAATTTTGCACGAGTCCATGCTCTGTGGGTATCACCAGTGCGTGAAAAGCTCATCTAGTCTCAATGCATGGCATCCATTTATTTGGGAGGGCGAGGTGCTGAGGACAATTGATGGGAAACTAAAGACCACAGCTTTGAGAGTAGGCTGAGACTTTGTAGAAAAACGCATAGCTCCCCCGACAAGTTTTACCGTTTGCACGCCGGTCAAACCTGTAAAACAGAAAAATCAACCAGGTCATTAAAAACAGATTATGAAGCCGAACGTATTTTTCGATGTTATTGTTGTGGGTAGAAAACACGACCACCAACGGATTATGGATTTGAAATACTTACATTGTAACTAGTTGCCATTCACTTGCATTGACGGTGTACCTCCGTGGTCGATCGCTGCTCTTTCTCTACTGCGATTCTCTCGTTCTTCATCTTCCTCATCCCGTTCCTCATTGCCACTGTGGTTCTTACAATACAGTCTAAAATAAAGGGGGATTTGTAACTAACACTGAACAATAACAATTCATCCCCCACAAAGCTGTGGCTCAAAGCAGAGTTAGGAATGGACTGTGCAAGCATTTTACGAGACAAGAAATAAGACTGGTCTTAACAGTGCTCACTTGTAGATTCCGCGTGCCATGTTCTCAATGTACTTTGCTTTGTCCTGCAGACCGCAGTGATAGTGGTAAGTCTTCACACAGGCTTTGATCTCACACCCAATGGTTGCACCCAGCTGGGTGCAAAGTGTGCATTTCTTCAAATACAACAAGACAACCACAAATTCTGATTAGATGATAATCGGCACCTTTCAGAGTTGTTCATCAAAAAAATGGATAAAGAATTTTTTTTCAACCATTCTTTTCCCTCTCTTTATCTCTTGGATTACGGTTTTCACATCAAAGTTCCCGAATTCTGCCCGTGACGTGGTGGTCAGCTGAACTGTCCCAGACGAAAAAAGCTGTAAAGCCAGAAGAGAAGATGCGGTAACACAGCACATTCATACCACTTAAGTTCACTGCAACAACCTTAATGGCACACACACACACTCACACAAACATGCACACTTGGATGTACACGCACACAGACCTTACCATGCATTTGTAGTGAGCAGCCACTTTTTTGGAGTTATCAGTATGAAGCACGCCTCTCGTTTCGTTTTCTTCATCACCAGCATGGCAGAATCCACAGCGCTGCCCGCCATCAGCCGGACTGGCCCGAAGAGGTGACCTCTCCCGCTACAACACACAGTACAGCACATAGACACCGTTGAGAGACCACCTAACAATCAACCCACCATGCAAATGAAAGTCAGGCACACTGGAAATGACCTTGTGTGCAGGCAAGTCGCCTTACATGTGAGGAAGTCTCCTCGTCTGCAGCCTGGGAGGAGGTGGAGCGGGTGTCTTCTGACTGGCCACGAACCTTGCTTCTGCCCTTCTCAAATCTTCCTCTGCCCCTATTTTGTGGTGGTGAGGAGTCTGAGTCATTGGCCACACCTTCCTCTTCGTCTAAAAACAAACAAAACATTGGAGAGAGACCTTTAGAAAACGCATCAAACATCTTATTCATAAATATTGCACAAGTGTGGCGGAAAAGTGCATGGAGTAGACATTACAAAAATACGATGAACATTGTGGACAGACATACCTTCGATGCCATCTCGAGAAGCATCCCGATGTTTGCGGCAGTAAACTCTACAATTGAGAGAAGGCAGTAGTTCAATAGTTAAATGAAATGATGTATTTTTTAAAGAGGTCTAAAAGGTGTCTAAAGGGAAAGTAACTTACAGGTAAGTTCCTTGTGACGCATTCTCTTTAACCTGGGCTTTGTCCTTTACAGCGCAGTAATAGTGGTAAGTCCTCCGGCACGTATTCACATCACAGCCAATAGTAGCACCCGGCCGGTGACATGACGAACACATCTGTAGCGAGGCCTTCATTATTACTTTCAACGTAAAAATCAAAACCTTTTTTCCTAACAAGTTTGAAAATTGTCATTTTAATGGGTTGGATAACATACACTCATGCTAAATGAATGAATGGTCGTAGGTAAGTATAGCTGGGACAGCATTACCGGCGGGCATGACTGGATTGCTGCAGGATGTAAACTACAATTTATGTCAATATGAAAAAAAAAAAGTTCCATTCTGAAAAAAAACTAGTTGTTTGGGGGATTAATACAAAAAAGAGCAGGTCTGTAATTTTGCTTTCTGTATTTCGGGAAAGTCTGTGGTTATATTATCAGGCATAGTCAGGTTGAGTGGTTGCCGAGGCAAAAACTCGGGCGTGGGGAGAATTCGGTGAAGCCATGGAAGCCGACTTTCGGACTGCTTGGAGGAATTTCTGGTCCACCATCAGACATTTCAGGAGGGGGAAGCAGCCTACCATTAACACTGGTTCTAGTGGGGATGGGGTGCTGGTGGCCTCGACTCGGGACATTGCGAGTCGGTGGGCAGAATGCTTCGAAAACCTCCTCAACTCCACCAACATGCCTTTCTGAGGATAGAGAGTCTAGGGACTCTAAGGTGGGCTCTCCTATCTATGGGGTTGAAGTCACCGACATGGTTAAAGAGCTCCTCGGTGGCAAAGCCCCGGGGGTGGATGAGACGAAGCTCTCGATTTACCGGTCGATCTACGTTCCCGCCTTCACCTATGGTCACGAGCTATGGGTCGTGACCGAAAGAATGAGATCCCAGATACAAGCGGCCGAAATGAAATTAGAGATGAGAAGCTCGGTCATCCAGGAGGGGCTCAGAGTCGAGCCACTTCTCCTCCACGTCGAGAGGTGCCAGATGTGATGGCTCAGGGATCTGATTAGGATGCCTCCTGGACGCCTCCGTGGTGAGGTGTTCTGGGCATGTCCCACGAGCAGGAGGCCCTAGGGATGACCCAGGACACGCTGGAGAGACTATGTCTCCCAGCTGGCTTGGGAACGCCTCGGGATCCCCTGAGAAGAGCTGGTACAAGTGGCTGGGGAGAGGGAAGTCTGGGTTTCCCTGCTAAAGCTATTGCCCCCGCGACCTGACTCCAGATAAGCGGTAGAGAATGGATGGATGGGGGGATTTATTAACAAGTGACGACCATTGGATCAATGGTGAGTCTGCATATAAAATGGTACCGAATGCTGGACAATCAATCTAAGAACCCCTTATTGAAACAGGTCTCTTTAAAAATAAACTCACAAAAACACACAAAAGAACAAATAAAAATCAAAACGCGGAAAGTTAACCCTTTGAGGCTGGCTGGGCTGCGCTCTCATAATGTACAGGACACTAAGATCTCACACATCTTTAAGTTTTGTGATATTTCCGATGAAATTTCAGAACCGAACGGGTAGGTATTCAAATTTGGAGTGTTCTCTGTTCCGCTTTACCATCACCTTTGTTAATGCAGTGTTTAAAAAAAGACTCACCAATTTGTTTCCCCTTTTGATCTCCTTCTTGACATCTTCAACAGAAAATCCTCCAATGTTTTCATTATCTGAGTGTGATGACACCAGAGCAGAGGAGAAAAGCTATGCCACAAACACGAAAAAACAAAAAAAAACATTATTAGTACAGTCTTGGATCCACCATTAAAAGAAAATCATTCCACATTTCATGTCTTGCCAGTGACTTTCTTAAAACAATGATTGGAAAAATAAAGGTATTACAACATTTGGACATTTCACTCTTGCAGTCAATGCATACCATTTTCACTATCTCCTTTTTTTTCGGGATGCAAAATTAATTAGGATGCCATCGACTCGGAAAAACGCCATAAATGTAAGACAATGCCAAACCACAATCTACATGACAAATGCTAGAGACTGAGACAGAGACCACGGCCACTAATAATAATATGATAAAGAAAGAAAGAGTGAAAGTGATTAACATATTGGGTTTGGTCCATTTTTTTTTTTTGGGAGTGCAGTTTTGTTTAATTTTTAACAATCATTTAGCACTTTCACCTTTATTGCATCTAGAGGACCTGCCTGTAGCTGCTTTGTTAATTGGTGACTCGTTAGTGTACAAAGTGCAGCAGGCATCAGAAATTCCATTTAAAAATATACAGCGTCCTACCCCACTTCTCTCTCTCACACTCACACACTTAGATTAATTAAGTTCAACCGTGACTTTCTTCTTCGGCTCTAATCCTAATGTAGGTGGTGCTATCTGCACGTGTGATGTCACAACTACATGACACAACAAATTCATAACAAAATTGATGCCAACGCTTAATTATCAATTTTATCAACTTTTTGCATCCCTATAATTGTCTTCAATGCCTGCGGGCCTTTAGCCATCGGCATTGACTTTTTTTTTTTTGTGTGTTTGTTTAGTGTTAGATCCCACCAGTAACAGTTCCATTAATAGCAATATTGTAAATTACCGTTTATATTCTGTGTCATATTCCACATAAGGATGAACCGTATATTTATCTCCCGGTATACAGTAGTTTTTACAACATTCGAAGATTCATCTTCAACAAAAACATGTTCACAAAATCCATGTAGGTTAGATATGCATTTAAATGGTGATTGAATAACCCCCCTGCCGCCCTTCCCCACAAAAAATATTCCCTCTGTAATTATGTAATAATGTTGGTGTGGGTTAACTTAGTTTCTCCAGTCACATGCTACAAGTAAAAAGACCACTATGCTCTGCTTACCATGCACTTGTGGTGGGCTGCCACCTTCTGGCTATCAGACACTAGCAGCTGCCCACAGTCTTTTTCCCTGCTGGTTCGACAGAAGGCGCATTTAGGGAGGCGAGCTGCAGCACCTTTCCTCTGCCCAGACATGATCTGGAGCGCTGAGAGCGGATGAGTTTCCAATGAAAATCAAACAACGGAAGTGAAAAAGACCAGCTGGATTAGAAGGGCTTTATAACAACTCATCCTCATCAGTAATACTACTTCAATCGTAAGATGAGCGATAAATTTAAGTCGGAGGAAAAAAGCCAAAGATACAACTGGAACCCAAACTTTGAATGAGTAGAATAAACTCTAAAAAGATACTAAGACAACAAAATAAGAGCAATGCATCCAAAAGACATAGACTTGTAGAGTTGTGGTCCATACAGATGCTGAATCATCTCCTCTTGCGTAACATATTTAGTACATCTGTGACATATAATGAAATATGTATAGATTAAAGGTTTCTCAAATGACCATTTGAGGAATATTGTTTGTGTATGATGGCAGTGATAGTTTATTATATATCGGCACAGCAGAGGCCTGTGGATGCAACACCAGCAGTCAGCCGAAGTATAATTATGTTAAACGAGGCAAAATCAGGACCTATCCAATTATATCAAATATATTATCTATACATACACACACAGTATATATGAAGACTACCTGTGCATATATCATTCTGAATGATGCAATACATTTTGCTGACACAAGCTACCCAGTATTTATGAGTCCTGCAAATGTATCAAATCGAACTAATTTCTGCATCCACTCTGTCCGTAAAAATATGATTTTAACATAAATGGTACATTTTAGAACACGGTGTCTGTTATTTTACGCTTTAAAATCTTTTAAGATTACGTAGTTCAATTATTACACGAATACATTTTATTTAATATTAAATTAAAATGACACATTAATTAAGCATTTATGTAAAAATTAAAACCACTTCTGTCAACAAGGGACAGTTCAATCTTAAATGTGCGCATTTTTTCCAGGGATGGTGTGTTTAAAACGCTGCTAAGCGAGCTCGATGGAAGTAATCCACGTAAACATTTCAAGATGAGACTCACCATTAACGTCAAAATAAAAGTGAATGTTTTTTTTTTCTTACTTAAGACAAACAATGTACTGCGACGCCTAGAACGAGCCATTACTGCCATGATAGCAGAGCCACCATCGCCTCACTGCGGCGGCTACAGCGGCGTGCAAACACACAATAAGCCCATGTAACCGACACTTAATCAAGTCTTATTACAAAGTCAACTGTTCGCTGAACAATCCTGATCAATGAACATTTCGGCATATTCCACGGCGAACAATGTGAGGAATATGTGGCCGCAGTAAATGAAACGAGGAAACTCCCCTAGATTTCTTCCCCCAAAGTTTTGAATTAAAGGGGGTGTGTATATCCTTCGCTGGCAAACTAGCTACAAACTGGTGATTTTGGGGGAACTGGGAACGTTTCAACGCCTCGAAATGTTTCACAAGGCCCGAGTTTAAAATAATAAAGAAAGAAAGAAAAAGGCCCAGGTATGAAAAGAGGACTTTTTGTTTCGGTGGTAGTGTGAAGCGCAAAAGCGGCGAATATTTCCCTTTAAATGCGGGATCTAGTCATGACAGGCGCGGGTCTTTGCAAACCGCTTCGAAAGCAAAGAGCGCCATACGTGATGTATCTCTGAGAAGAGAGCAGCTTGGCTTGAGCGCCAGCACAACGGCCTCGAGCCACAGCAGGCCACGAAACACACTGGCTGCCTCGCAAGGCCGTGATACAAAAGTCTTACCTGCCAACTATTATCTTACGGCGCCAAGAGGTTAAAAAAAAGGGAAAGTGTAGCGAGTGGCGACTGAATTTCTCCCCGTCCTTCACAAGTGATCGTGTGCTTTCCCCACTTAACCACGGTGAAGCTAGTAACCGAGGCCTTACATTCGCTACTTCCGGACGGGGCTTTCAGAATAAAAGCACAGGTGACGCGTTGCAATCTGGACTTTGGAAATGTGAAAATAAATATGGTTTGGTATACACGGATGCAAGATACTTCACGATTTTACGGTACATTGTATGTGGAACCAGAGTCGCTACAGGTAACCACACTTGATCATCCATGTTTGTAATAATGAAATCGCAATCTCATATAAACTTAACTGTAATTTGGAGTACGTACTGTATATTCGAGTGTACCTGTAGTGAAAAAAAACGTTATTTATTTCAGTAGTTCATTTTAAAAAGTGAAATTCATAAATTAAAAAGATCAATGGCAAATTGTGCATTTGGTTTCTGGTACCTTGGTACTAACTCTATCGTGTCATAATCACATTACAATCGTATCCCTGTAATTTAATGTTAAATTATGATTTCTTAATTTGTCAAAGTGTGACGAAAGGTGCATTCACAACTCGGATTTATTTTTCGGTCCAGTGGTGTAAAATGTTTTGGTTTAGTTTACTTAAAATTTCTTGTTTAGGGTCATGCACAATTAAAAGTGCCCGGCCCCATATCACCAACATGTCCCATGTGACATGGTTCCAAACCCATATCGCTATTCAGAGCAAGTTTAGGGGCAATTTATTTACCCCTAAAAAAATAACTTAAAGCTCTACATTCAACTTTTTCAAAGTGGGCTTGTTTGCAATAACCCCACACCCCAGCATCATAGTCCAACACGAGACAAAGGCATAATTTGTGGCGATGATTCTGTGCAGGTGTTGAAGTCTCGATGGCATCAAGCCTGAACTTTATTAATAACAGGTCCAAGGGCTCTCCCAACTGATTCAGATAATGCTTTTATAACAACAAAACTAAGATATTTGTACCTTTTAGAAAACGACCAAATGTTATAAACAAAATGAAATTCTAAGTTTGTCAACTTAGGCCCTTGTTTACTGAAATGTATCACTTGAGTTTTTTTTCATAGTTTATCTTCATTCTCATTCTATTCCACCATGAATGAACAACTGTCAACATTTTTTAAACGTCAGATTCGTTTTCTGCAACTAGCATTACCGTATTGGCCAGAATATAAAACGGCCCTGATTATAAGACGACGCCCTCTTTTTCAAGACTCAAGTTTGAAAAAAGACTTTTTGAGCACCAAATTAATTTTTATGCAGAAAATAATTACAGTACATCTGAAACAAATGATTATAACAAAATATTTGAGAGGAAAAGCATGTTATTTTGCCTCATTCAAATCTTAATATCTGAACATTTAAATATGTAAACTAAAGTGCAATCACATTCGTAAATGAATGGCTTCTGGTTTTTGAAATGTAAATGACATCATAACTTCTCCTCAGCTGCCGGTTAACCTGGCCGATTTTCGACCCACTTTTCTCCAGATTGTCGCTACGTTTCTCCATTTTCTGTTATCTCTTCTATTATTTTCTTCTCTTTTCTTTCTTACTGCTATTTTTTATTTTTCTTCTTCGTGCTACCGCTATTTTTATTTTTATTCTTCGTGGCAGGGGTTTACTTTGGCCTGGGGAGTCAAGTTCATCATTCGCTTCAATGATATCTGGCGCCATCTAGCGTCGTGAATGGGTATAATGTCTAGACCCCGAATATAAGACGAACCCTACTTTTTCAGTCTTATTTCAATGCAAAAAACACCGTCTTATATTCGGGGCAATACGGTATATCATCTACACACAGCAAAAATGCAGTTTCATGTGACATGAAACATAAATGGAAATAATAAAACGCGAAGACCAAGAAAAAAAAAAACGTTCTCGAGGCATCAAGCCTCAGACAATTTAGCACCAAAGCTCACTGGGACATGCAAACCCCTCCACCACAGTAAGGTGACGGCTCATGGAGGGGAAGCCGGTTATTGTTTTGTCACTTTTGCTGCATAACATTTTATTAAAACTTAAGTAAAATAGTAGTAAAGTAAAAATTCTTCCTCGAAAGAATTCTGGATAATTTGAGTTGCAGATGGGAGCATAGCTGAAGTGTGGGGAAAGGGCGCAAAAGAGGTGGGGCCATAGAGCACTTCTGAGAATTCGGACATGCAACATACTACCACCCTCGACGGGAACACACGATTGGGGGGCACACGGGTTTGGTCATTGAAATTGCGTGGGACGTCACAACCTTCGTAGGAACGCCCTTTGCGCCTTGACGGACGACAAAACAACGATTTGTGCCTGTTGAAACCGTAGAAACTCCTGTAAAACATACAGTCCTGTAGCCATTTACATAAGCGATTACTGTATCTTCTAAAATTGTCATATCTTGCTGTACGGTCGGATGTACTAATAGACAAGGGTGTAAAACGAACTTGACTTTTTGCTTTGCGCAAACATAGGACGGAATGTATAAAAATAAAAAAATCCGTCAGTTAGCATCATAAGCAAGTTTTACCTTCGCCATTACAATGCATCTTGTCCCCCCGGTGTGAGCGTAGCATCTCTTACCAGGGACCCAGCCAGGGACAAAAAATGGTATGCGTCCAGAGTTTAAAAAGCTTTTAAATCAGCTCCATTGTAAGGGGACTGAAAACATAATGATAAATGTCGTGCGCTGTGAATTCCGGCAAAGTCGGCGATTTGATTAAAACGGTGAACACAGTAGTTAAAGTGGTGGATGTCATGGATAGATAGGCAAAATTAACTTATACAGTCGGTAAGTCACAAAGTCGCTCCGTTTTCGGTCCACTTCGATTTGGCAGTCATGAAACTTTGCTGTTCGTCATGGGGCACTCACGTGATCACGTGACGTAGCTGCAGCGGGTCAATACTCCCCCCGTGTGGCCAAGGCGGCACACCAGAAGGAACACGTTATTTTTAATTCAAATTATGTTATTACTGTATCAAATGCTTTCATAAAAAGCCTTTTCTTAGTAGTAAAATATAACAATTCTTTTCACGGGGAAGGAAAATACATGATTTGACCCGAATAATAATAAATATGACATTTTATGAAACTTTATGACACACCGACAACCACTGTTGCTACGACGTTACAGGACTATCAATCCAAATATGGATAATATTGATACCAAGTCAGTATGAATATCGTATTAATACTTCCAGGGTGAGATCGATAAACTAATTTCAGTTTCACTTTTGTATGCACTGCTGCAGTTTTATCAAAAAGGTGACAACCAGATCGCTGGACTCGCTGTTTGTTTCAGCGCCAAGCAAGCACACTCTGCCTCTATCCTCGCCGCCCTCCCTTATGTTTCTCTGTTGTGCCGCCGCATGTGACTGAGCAAGGCGAAAAATCAGTCCGTCCGCCCACCAGCACACACAATGCATGGATCCACAGATATGAAGCAGCTCAACGGAATCGCTCACAAAAACCTGTATCCAAAACCATGTTCTGCACAGAGTGCCTTCTTTTTTTACCTCCAGGCTTTGGAGATTGTTTAATACCTCACACTTAATTATATTTTTGCCCATGTTGTTTTTCAGAATGAGGAAAAGAAGTGCGTTGAAGGGAATAAATGTTTTGTCTTTGTATTTGGACTCCCCGAACTTACATTACACTTGAAAAAAAATGTTCTTTTAAAAACGTTTTATCATATTTGTGATGAATAACTTGATGACTTTTTTGATAATTCAAATCCATGAAAGAAGTGCAATAAAGTGGGATTTTTAAAAGTAAATTTTTGTCTAGCAGTTTTTGCACAGTACCCGAAAACGTTTTCTGGTTAAGGTGATAATTTTGTGCACTTTGTTAAAGAAAAAAATATCCAGACATGACAATGTACGGGGGAAATGTATTTTCTATTCACCAATAAAATGTCCTAATAATTATAACCTGGCTTTGAACCAGGTAATAATAATACGAAAAATCACAGAAACATTTAAAGAGTGTCAAGATTAATTGACATTTAGTAATTCGAAAGATTTAGCGTCCTTATTGGAAAATTACCGGTATCGGATGGCCCTGTGTCAGATCGATTCCAAAATAGTGCACACCACTATATAATACTACAGTTGTTACTCATTAACCAGAAACACGGATTTAGATGTACTTAATCATAGTTTTATAGCACATTCTTGAAACATTGTCGTGATAAACGGATCCGCCCAAACATAATACTGTACTGTATAAATAATCCCCGAAAAAAACTTCGTCAAGAGGGGGCTGTTAACAAAAAGTAAAAAAAAAAAAAAAAGTGCCGTATTCCTAACATGATTGGCTAAAATCGATGACAGTCATCGTAGGGTAAAACAAGCCCACCGAGCGTCCCCGAGAACAGGAGAGGGGAGATAGTGAGAGGACGACGATGCTTGCAACTGCACTGTAGTCGTTCAGGGAAATGAAGTTGTCAGTCTGGCCAGCCATCTGCTTGAAACTAGTCAGTTAGCTAGTTAAGTGACAGCCGGTCAAGAGTAGCGAGGTTTATATTCATAAGCACCGCTACGATGGTTGTTCGTCAGAGAATTTTGTAGCCGTATTTTGTTACGAGTCGGGCATAGAAAGCGACTGATCTGAGATAAGGTTACATTTAAACGCAACCTAACAGTGACAACAGGAAAGTAGAAGCAACTCGCTAGCCTACTAGCTAAGCTTTAGCCACCGAGCTTCCTCCAACTTTAAAACTACTCCTCGCATTTGGTCGGTGAGTTTTGACACTTGAGAATCTTTAATCCGTGTTTGGTGTGTTCGTCGTGTTCACTGTCCGCGTAGTATTAGCGATTGCTAGTCTCTCGTCACTCGGTCCCACCTAGCTAAACTTTGGCGATGAACATTGCTGTGGCTCTGACAATTGAATCGTCACGCGACAAGAGTTTAACTTTAATGAAAAGTTACTAGAGGAAGTTGATGTCGACGTTTGCTAGGTGTGTTGATCTGGTCTTTAGTAGTTTGTTACAGTGTCGACTTGCCACTAGAATAAGCTAACCAACTCTCGCCGTGGCCTTGTTTCTTCAGGTGTGCGTTTCGCAACTATTACCTAATGCAAGTCACAGTTGTATTCTTTTTTTCTGACAGGTACTAGGTCATCTCATTCAGTCATGCCTTTTCCTTTCGGAAAGTCTCAGAAGAGTCCAGCAGAAATAGTGAGGAGTTTGAAAGAAAATGTGGCATATATGGAAAAGCTGGATGCTGGGGAAAGTAAAAAGTGTGAAAAGGTGACTGGTCGTGGGGGGGGGGTGTTTAGACTTGGAAATGAATGTCTCTTAATTTTAACTCTGCACTTCTCAGGTGGCAGAGGAAGCTTCAAAAAATCTCGCTTCTCTGAAGGAGGTCCTTTGTGGGACAGGTGACAAGGAGCCTCAGACCGAGGCAGTGGCTCAGCTTGCACAGGAGCTGTACAACACCAACCTTCTCATTTCACTGATTGCAAATTTGCAAAGGATTGACTTTGAGGTAGGATACATGCTTCCCATTGCTTTACTATACAGTAATCCCTCATTATCGTGGTGGTTAGGTTCCAAAAAGAACCAGTGAAATCCGTGAAGTAGTCATCTTTATTTTTTTACAGTTATTATGTATAAGATACAATGCTGTATTGAATGAAACCAAAGATTAAACCTTTTTTCAGGCCCAACCATTAATATATATATATTTTTTTTCTTAAACAGGGTAAGAAGGATGTGGTTCATTTGTTCAGTAATATTGTGAGACGGCAGATTGGAACACGCACTCCGACGGTAGAATACATCTCTACACACCAACAGATCCTCTTCATGCTGTTAAAAGGGTAAGTCCCTCTTGTTTGATTCACATCAGAATCATGAGTATCAGAATAATTTAGCCTCTTATTGACACCATGAAAACTTTTCTGACAAAATGACTTTCCCTTGACATGCCTTGCAAATGTTCACTTTTTAAAGCTACCCAGAATATGTTCCAACACTTCCCAGAGAGCGAGCTTGAACTTGTTGCACTTACCTGTGTGACAGACGTATAATTGAAAAATGGTTGTCAAAAGCTAGTTATACAGTGGTCTGAAATGGGGCCAGCTTGCGTATTGTGGATGTACAATTTATATTGAGTTAGAATCAGCTGAGGCTGCTGTCTCTGACTGATGGTCTCATTTGTATGACCTAGATCAATTTGTATGACCTAGATCATCACTGGAGAAATACACTAAATCTCAAGCACAACCTTTTCTTTGAAATTTTGTCTTGAATAAGGTAATTGTGTTGTTTTTTTTTTTTTGTTTTTTTTTTAACCTTTACGAAAGGGGAAATCAGAAGAAGACAGCTGGCTTTATGTGTTGCGTTTTTTAACACGTTATCATGAAATTGAATGATGTTTCCATCCATCACCCCTTCTGAACTGCTCATCCAGGTTAAATCTTTGAAAACCAAAGGATGATTACTGCATGTGTTTGGAGTTGACACTTCAGATTAAGACTTGACACAACTTTGGATCTGCACTTTCCATTCTTGTTTTGATATTTTTGTTCAACTATTGCTTGAATCATATTGTATTGCCCACCCAGTACAGTGACAAATAAAGCATATCGCTGTCCTCTAAAAACGCATGTCCTTTTTTTCATTTTTCACATTTTTTTTAAATTAATGGGATGTCCGAAATGCGGGCACCCCATTAACGTAAAAAATGAAAAAAATTCCAAAAAAATGGGCATTCGTGTTTTTCACAGCACAATGATATTTGGGACTGCACTACTGCTGTATTGCAATGGGAGCCATTTTATTTTCTATGGTCATCACTCTTTTCCTCACTGGGTACGAATCGAATCCTAAATATGCTAAAGAATGTGCAAAACACGTTAAAATAATCCTAAAATGCTCACTGTGCTCAAGGCTTATAAGAGTTATTGAAGTTGGAGAGGTATGCTGGCATCCAATCAGCAAGTCTAACACTTGCTGAGGTTTTATGGGAATTTAGAGCGGAATTGTACAACTCCAGGGGCATTCAACCTCAGTTGTTACACTATTCATTGCACATTATTACTTTCATTTGAAGAATAAATATGGCTGTTGCATGTCAATTATGTAAATGTGCATACCTGACTTGTATGGTGTACAGATATGAGAGTGCAGAAGTGGCTCTGAACTGTGGAATGATGCTGAGAGAGTGTCTTCGCCATGAGCCGTTAGCTCGGACTATACTCTTCTCTGAAGAGTTCTACTGTTTCTTCCGATATGTGGAGCTCTCCACCTTCGACATAGCGTCAGATGCCTTTGCATCATTCAAGGTACGCTGAGATTGATTTATTTTTTAAATAATCCTGTCTGTTTGGGTAATGCGCATCTTCTAAGAACCTTTTTCTGGCAGGATCTCCTCACAAGGCATAAGCTTATGTGTGCCGATTTCTTGGAGACCAATTATGACCGGGTAAATGCTCAAATGCCCTCACTAGAAACAATGTCGTGACTTGATCTAATATTCCTTTTGAAAAATGTCTGCAAGGTATTTACAGAATATGAGAAGCTCCTGCATTCTGACAATTACGTCACCAAGCGACAGTCTTTAAAGGTACCGCCTTCACAGGTTTAACATGAATCAAAGTCGTGCTAGTATTCACCGTCTACAATTAAGATTGGAAACATATTTTCAGCTTCTGGGGGAGCTTTTGCTGGATAGACACAACTTCACAGTGATGACAAAGTACATCAGCCGAGCAGAGAACCTGAAGATGATGATGAACATGTTACGAGATAACAGTCGCAACATCCAGTTTGAAGCGTTTCATGTTTTCAAGGCGAGTGGTCCGTTTCTAATTGTTCCGATGTCAGTTTAACGTTTTATTTGAACTTGCGAGAAATTCTCTAGTTGGTATTTTCCTGTGATGCTATCTCTAATGTAGTGATGTGTATTTGTTAATTGCTGAAATAAAGCAAGTATTTTCTGATCGTTAAGATGAATAGCATGGGCGTAAATATGCTTAAATAGACATTGGTATTGACGTATCAATTGTCTGCTTAACGGGGAAGTCAACCCCCAGATTTTCCTGACACTAATAAGTTCTTTGCAACCCTACTAGTCGAAACACGGCATTCTGATTAATTTTGCGTTTGTGGAATCTGAATTAAGCAGGAAAATCCACTCGTTTTTGTTCATCTCAGGGTCGGCCATTTTGCCACTTGCTGTCGACTGAAAATGACATCACAGTTGCTCAGGTAACGACTAATCATGATTGGTCATTACCTGAGCCCTCATTTCTCACAAATGCAATATTAATCTGAATGCCGTGTGGAGGCGCATAGTGAAGAACATTTGTGGGGGTTGACTTCCCCTTTAATCATATGAAATATTCCTCGTTGTATCTCTCAGGTGTTTGTTGCAAATCCCAACAAGACTCAGCCAGTGCTGGACATCCTGCTGAAGAACCAGACCAAACTGGTGGACTTCCTGAGCCACTTCCAGACTGACCGATCAGAGGATGAGCAATTTTGCGACGAGAAAAACTATCTGGTCAAGCAGATCCGGGACCTTAAGAAGTCCACAGGCCCCGAGGAAGCCTGAGGCTGCAGAATGGAGTGCTCCAAAAGTGGTAGATGCAGTAGTGCCAGCCAGCATCGAAAGACGTGCTTCTGTAAGGCTTAGCGTTCATTACAAAATATAGGAACAAAGTAAAGATGACTTCCGTCTGCTTTTTAGTTTGGATGGGGTTTCCATACAGCAACCTGAGTGGGCCAAGAACTCTTATGTAAACGTAGCGCTTCTTACGTGTTGAATTGTCCATTCTTGTATTGTCAGACCTTAAACTGTTACTCTTCCAGATTTTCCTTTTTGCCAGCACAGACCTTAGAATGACAACATCACTCCATTGGCAGCATGAGCTCCAGCAGTAAGACAATGACAGAAACTCGCGTGCGTGCGTGCGGACTGAAAAACTGAGGGGGACATTCATGTTCCAATATGATCTCATCCAACCGCTCTCGTGACACATCTGATTCATTGTCTTATTGTTCATTTTCGCTTTCATTCGAGTATTTAAACAATGTCGAAAGACAGCTTCGGCATGTGGCTCATATTAATAACCTAGTTTGCACATTGTCGTTCTGCGTGCCTAATATGCCGTTTTTAGGCCTTTGTCTGCATTTTGCGCTCGCGGAGGTCAGTGACGTGATTACCAATGCGTTTGCCAGCACAGCAAGAGAAAATCAAAACAGCAGAGGAATGAATTGATTTGTGATGGTGGTTTTAGCCAGCGCTCGGCGGAGCTGGCATGCCTGAAATGGAAATGAGGCATCAGATAGCGCTGTGGGGTAACACCCATCCCTGCGCCATCCACACAATGACCAATTGATCTCACTGGGAAGACCCTGTTCCATCCTCACATTGTCATGTATATAGTATGAGGACCGCACTCAAATGACCACGCACTAATAAAGCCATTCTGAGATTACAGTTGGAAATATTTACACAGTAACTCAACTCAACTGTATTCATAGAGCACTTTCAAACAGCCATCGCTGCATACAAAGTGCTGTACATGGAGCAAATTAACATATACAACAAACAGTAAAGCAAATCGGTAATAAAAACAGTAGAAAGCACCGAACAGCAAAACCAAGAACAATCTAAGTCATGCTGAGTCAAATGCCAAAGAATACAAGTGAGTTTTGAGGCAGGTTTTGAAGAGTGATCTGCAACCTGTGGCCTAATCGCTGCTTGAGTTCCTGATTAAAGATAGTAAATTGATTAGATCCACTTCACGGTCAAAATAATGCATGTATAAGACATATTCGGTAATAAACAAGTAACAGGAAAAAAATAGAAACTCTTACTTCAAAATACGTGTCAATGTACTCTGACACTATGTGCTCTGATTTGGGCTTGTTTTGGCAGTAGACGATGTACATGTGAAACCTGCGCTCCTGCAGTAAGCAGAAGACAAAAGTTGGAGGAAATATAGCAGGTAAAAATATAAGAAAGTATAGTATAAACAAACTACAAGTGAATCTCAATGAATTATAAGACAGTATAGTAGAAACAATTATTTGAACTAAACTAAGTTTTCTTACATTCTTGTATTTCTGTGTTTTTCTTTGCTTTTACGTGTCTTAAATTCTTCTCCTTATGAAATACCTTCAAATGTATTTTTACACACACTGAGTTAACCTGAGTATGAAATATGCCATACAAGTAAAACTGCCTTGCCATTTGTTTCAGTTCTATTCAAAAAATGAATCTTGAATCAACTCAACTCAACTGTATTCATAGAGCACTTTCAAACAGCCATCGCTGCATACAAAGTGCTGTACATGGAGCAAATTAACATATACAACAAACAGTAAAGCAAATCGGTAATAAAAACAGTAGAAAGCACCGAACAGCAAAACCAAGAACAATCTAAGTCATGCTGAGTCAAATGCCAAAGAATACAAGTGAGTTTTGAGGCAGGTTTTGAAGATGGGCAGCGAGGAGGCTTGCCGAATGCTCAGTGGTCAGTAAGGTCAAAACATTATTTGAATTAGGTCATCATTTCAAAATAGAACATCACATTACACTTGACAAGTTTTAATCACCTGCAATGTTGTACCACGTGAATGCTATTGCCACGAGGTGCATTTTATTGTAATTTTTTTTGTTTTTTGGATTTGTTCAACCAGAAATGTTCTCACCAGTACTCAATAATATTACTTGGTAAAATATGGCAGACCTCCATCTTCTGGTCTGACTCATGCGTTTAGGTTTGAGGGAATTTGCACACAAACGAGGAAATTACATCTCCCGTCCTGAACTCTTTTCGATATTCCAACATTATTTCTGTAATATCACATCAATTTTAAATTTTCCCTTGTAACCCCCCCGTGTGGCCTTACCACTCCTCATATGTCCTCTTACAAACAACGATAAACGAAAAGACCTCTCACTGATGGCAGGCAAATTGTGGAAAGTTAAGATGGCATTAATTCGCTGCTGCTGCAAAGGATGCACCACAAGTATTTATACAAACACACAGAAGTCATATACCAAAGTCTGTTTTCGAATCAGTTAGCATGAAGATTTTGTTTTCAAAAAGGCTTGCTTTGTTTGATGAATTGAACTTGATTCAGAAAAATGGAGACGATAGTAAATTTAATATAAAATCATGCTTTGTTTGAAATATCTAACTTGGATTCTTTGGCTAATATGTTTAATTTTACACACACACACACGCAATGCACAGGGTCAGATGTCTTTGTGATACTTTTTTTTTTAAAACATGATTGTAATATTGCATTTGTTCCACCATGATGCATTTTTTTGAAACATCATTTAATCAAGAGGGACTATGTTATGATAACGAGTGGAGAATATATTAATTTCCTCGCAGTCATTTAATTTGGTGTATCTGCTTGACTTCAGCCATTGGGACGAAAATGTTAAATTTCAGGATGCACTTTCTAGGTGCACAATCCTAACTATGGAAAATACTTCAAAAGTTTAAAAATTCCTTTTTTTTCTCCTTTCCATTCCTTAACATTTCAATTTCTGTGGTTTGTATGCGTGCATTATGTGATCTTTCTACATGGTCAAACTTGAACAGGGTTTTTCTTTGTGGCAAACATTTAAAAACTATTTTATTGGGTGGTGCCACATGGACGTTATTTCATAATGAATTACCATGTGGGAACTTTAGAGTGAGTGATACCGTATTTAAAGATGTTAAATGGATTGTCATGGTCACGTTCATTTCAGTAATTCTACATTTTTAAACCAAAGCCTTTCTAATAGGGAGACAAATATAATTCAGTTCTCCTAATTTTTATAATGTGCATCGATTATCGTAGGTAACTATAAGGCCAAGAACACCCACATGGGATATATTCTGTTTGAATATCCATTTTAAATCATCCAATACACACCATAGTTACTAAGTGTGTGTAGTACAGGCATCTCCCTCTGTTATACAGTCACTTACCGAGAGGGAGCTCTTCGTATTATTTGGCACCTTGTTTATATTGTGCTAAAAACATTTCATGTTTCTTGAATCCTACCTCCAACTGCGACTACAGACAGTAAATCACTGGCAAGATAATGACATGAAGTCCTTGATTGTTAGACTATAGAGCAAGACAATAATATACTGTATAGTCTTCTAATTATGGATTTGACTGTATATTTCCTTATTCCGGTAGTATTTGATGCCGTCTCCCCTATTTAATCATGAACAGACTTAATTTGGGTGGAATTCTCTGTACATTTATAAAGAAGTGTGAACGCATTCATTAAATAAACTTTGTTGCAATCGAACCGCATACGATCTCCAGGTTGTTTCATATTCACAAAATTGCAGAAGTCTTGAGGTTCACGTTTGCAAATAAGAAACGCCGTTCCGGTGAATTCATATTTAACATGCTGCATGTCAACCTGACTTAAAAGTTCTTCAGGACACAAACCTACGGAGCCGTCGCGAACATTGGGACTCTGTGGGTGGATGGTTACAAAAACGTTTCCGTTGGTGTACCCTTAGTTGTCGGGACCTCACTGACCTCTAACATTTTGTTCAAACGTTACAGTCATAGTCAAGTAAATTCATCTTGTATAGGTTGTGAAATATGTTGGAAACTTTACAATTCTGATTTTTTGATATCGACTAGGTTTGCCAGTGAATTAGCAATTAATTATTTCCCCCCCTTTGCAACCTGAATCAATTTGCCTCTTTAGTAACGCCCAAATCAACATTTATGGGATAATTGGTTCAAGTGTAATTGTGTATCAACGTTTACACTCTAATGAATTCATTATGTAGTTACTGAGCATTTGCCTTAATTGTCTCCCTTGTTTGCCAGCATATTTACTTGAGTTGGAAGCAATCACTTCATTCCCCCACCCGGCTTGTGGCAGGCCTGTTCAAAAAAACGCTGACACACGCTCCATCTTGCTAGGAGGGAAGCAACACAAAGGCTGCTCTCTCTTATCTCTGAGCACTTTGTTTTCTGAATACTTACTATACCTGAAATGTCTACCGTGAATACTTGAGTGATTCCACCGGCAAAATAGTCCCTGTTTTTTGAACGACACTGAAGTTTGTGCAACAATTTAGTCTGCAGGTTAATTCAACACGTGGATTTCATTTGAATAATTGTTCCAAATGCCACAGTCATTGAATAATGCAAATATGGGGCTCTGGCATTACCACGATCTACGTCGTGTTCACACCGCACCAGTAGGAAACATGCAGAGTGGGAATGTAGGTCAAAGTTCGACCCGGGAAAGAGGCAAGTTAGACAACGCTGGTTCCCACAATAATGAGATGGGCGAAGGGGGAAGGGAGGAGGTTGCACCCAGCTACTAACGGCTTGTGCAGGGACAAGAAATAGTAGTGATGATCTCTTTTTTTTTGGGGGGGGTGGTGAGCTTGGGGGTGATATCTACACGCAAATGAGGCGGGCTCCTGCAGACGGAGCAGAAGGGTATGTGGGGGCAGGGTTTACAAGGGTGAGAGGTCACAAGTCTCTCTCGGGCTGCTGCTTTTACCGACAAACAGATCAATGCAACCACGTTGCCGGAATGAAACGAATACGCCCCGACGCTCTTTATTGCCATCGTATTTTTTTCCGTTTGTTTGGCTTGTTTACAAGATGTCTTTTGGTGGCGATTTACACCCTCGAAGATGTCGTCGCCGGCGCGTCCACCCCACCCCCACAAACAGGAAAAACCACTATAAAGGTGCTCTCGCGATTTCATGCATGACAAAACGTTTTGTTTGTGCCAAAAAAGGGTCGCGCAGGTTGCAACATCTGTGGCCAAGGCTGAGTGGAGTCGAGTGGAGTGGAGCTCGCTGCACTGCACGATGAACCAGGCTTGACTTTCCTTCTTTTCCACCCTCGTGCAACCAACTCAAGGTAGGCTACTCTATCTCACGGGTGTCCCATTCATTGAAGAGACTGTTGGTCGTGAAAGTAATGCGATGCATTGGTGTTTTACAAAAAAAAAAAAAGTGTATTTATATCACTATAACTTTATGTGAAGCATGTGTTGAAGTCGTGGTACATTAAGTTTCAAATGCTTGTTGTGGGATAAAAGTCAATGTTATCCTATTAGAGCCGAGGCATTATCGAATAAACTCGGATGTTAGTGTCCCTGGGACCTTTTTTTTTTAAGTATCGACGTGCTTATCACGAGGTGCCTTTGGCGCCACTTTGTAAAAAGCAGGACACATGACCTCAGATTTCGAACTTATTTTCCTGTGTCTGAACTACTTTCTAACTTGTTTCCGTTTTAGACAAGCCGTTTGCAACTATTGAGAAGTTGGTAATAAAACGTAAACTTCACTCATTTCAAAATTGAATACATTCATCCCCCTCAAAATTCTACACACAACACCCCATGATGTTAATATAAAAAGGTGTCATTTTTCTTTGCAAACGTATTTTAAAAAGTAATCACATATACATGGGTATTCATAGCCATTGCCACGAAGCTCAAAATTGAGCCCAGGCACATCATGTTTCCACTGATAATCCTTGAGAGGTTCCGACAATTAACTGGTGTCCACCTGTGGCAAATTCAGTTGCCACAGGTGACTGTGCATGTCAGAGTACAAACCAAACATGAAGTCAAAGGAATTGTCTGTAGACCTCTGAGACAGGATTGTTTCAAGACATAAATCTACGGAAGGGAACAGAAAAAAATTCTGCTGCTTTGAAGGTTCCAGTGAACACAGTGGCATCCATCTTCCGTAAATGGAAGAAGATCTGAACCAGTAGGACCCTCCCTAGAGCTGTCTGCCAGTCTAAACTGAGCAATCGGGGCAGAAGGGCCTTGGTCAGGAAGGTGACCAAGAACCCGATGGTCACTCAGAGCTCCATTTGTGGAGAGAGGAGAACGTTCCAGAAGGACAACCATCTCTTTCAGCACTCCACCAATCAGGCCTGTATGCTGGAGTGGCCAGACAGAAGCTACTCCTTCATAAAAGGCACATGGGCATCCTGCCGAGAGTTTGCCGAAAGGCACCTGAAAGACTCTCACACAAAGGAAGAAAATGATCTGATCTGATGAGATTAATTGCTACCAAAGGTGCACCAACAAAATATTGAGTAAGGCTGTGAATACTTAATACAAGTGTGTCCAAACTTCGTTCGTAAGGGCCAATCTCCTGCCTGTTTTCAACCTGTCCCTGCTGCAACACACCTGATTCAAATGATGAGGATCGCTCTCATGCTTCTTCAGAACTTGCCGATGAGCTGATCCTTTGAATCAAGTGTGTTTCAGCATGGAGGGATCTTGAAACAGCCATTCCAGCAGCCTGCGAGGACCGGAATTTGACATGCCTGACCTAATACATGCGATTTCTTACTATTTTAATGTTGCAAAAACAACAAATACCCCCCCCCCCCACATTGTCATTCCGGAATGTTATGTGTAGATTTGTGGGGGGGAGGGGATTCCATTTTGGGGTGAGGCTATAACCGAACAAAATGTGGAAAAAATGACGACTGAATATATTAGTTAATCCTGCATTCAAAGTATTCATTCAGTCAATGAAATCAAGTGTGCTGCACTGATTCGTGGGATCAGGAATCGGGCAGTCAACAAAAACAAGAGACTCGATCTCGAGAATGCATGCTGATGAACGGATTATTGGCATTTTCTTATAGGTAAAGTGGATTTTTCTGTGCATCTTTTGTTGAATTAAAGAGAAAGAGGTAGAGAGCACTGCAGCAAATTCACACAAGCACTCGTGTTAATAATGTACTACAAAGAACAACATTGAGGAGGTCTTGAAATAAATCTGTCAAATCTAAACAAGACAGCAAGTAATGAATATGCTAATATACTCCAGCAATATTTGTATGATTAGCAAAGGACAACAAGACACAGTTCAGCACAGGTTAAACTATTCATTCTTCGCAAGAGATCAACACCTATCTACACACACGAACCAACAGCAGTAGAAATCAATCAAATGCACCAAATGACTCAAGTGTTTTAAAAAAATGCTCTAAACACAAATGACTGTAAACATCTCCAATAAACTGTAAATAAAACAAAATTTCACCTCCTCGAAGATATTAGTTCCTGAGCATCCGACGCCTCAGTGGACAACAATCGGCTCATCCGTTGTGTCACATGGCTCCTCCTAACAGAACGACCCTTGAAAAAAAGGTTGCGATCCCTGTCCACAAACGAATTGTATTTTCAGGTGCAGAACAAATCATCTGGCTTGACGGCGTTTGTTCTTTCACAGTGATCCATAGATGAATTTCGAGTGTGTCTCTTCTTTATGTGACGCAATCAACTCTTTTTATTTCCTTTACAGATTGATTGGACATTGTCTTGCTTGCAATGGAGCACACCAATCTCTTCTCGCCACCTAAGATGAGCTGCTTGACCCTAAGGCCCTCCAGCTAAGGTGCATCTAGTGTAGTATAGTGAAATACTTGATAATCTACTGCCCTAGTTGCTCCTTCTGGCTGGAGAGCTTTTTTTTTTTATGCTGACTCTCCGAGGAGTTCTCTGCAAGGAAGCTGTGGGAGGGAGGGACTACACTTTAACACTATTAACATTTGTCAGATAACTCCAAAATCATAAACCCCGCTGTTTAACGCTTGAAAAGAAAGTGCTCATGTGGTTCTTTCTGGCTAACAAATCATACTTTGTCTTCATGCCAACAATCAACGGTGCAGATAATCCCATTATATTACATAGCCAGATAAAGTGGAACCTCCGCAAGCCATTCCAGGACACCGGTGGCAATTTTATCCATAAGATTTGAACATTTAAGTCTGTTCCAAGGTCGATCGAGAATTGCAGGACATTTTGGCTTCAAAATTCTTGAAAACGATTCATTCACTTTTCTGATTTTCTGCTAGACATTCATCAATAATAGGCAATAAGCTATCAAATGCTTGATTAGCTGTTTTATTGTGAAAAATAGAAGAGAGGAACTTTGAAGTGTGTGTCCCCAAGTGATTTAGCAGAAATATTTTATGACCTCAAGGGGTTTTGAGTTGACTTAACAGATCCCATTGTATCTGTTAACATTAAATCTCTTCATCTGTAATGTTGTGCATATGTCCCATCATTGACTTGGCTGTTCCAAAGTGCTCACAGTGCAGGTAGTGTTCACTTAAACCTACTGCAGTTTGTGCACTTCAGGTGTTGCCAGTCACTTGGCCTTCCACCATGCCTCGTCATTCAGTAATTGTGTGGACTTACGGGCCGACGGCGAGTTTTGTTGGTTTGCTTTCAGCTTCTGTCGCATTTTGCTGTGCAAATCCATGCAAAGCTCTCTGTTTGTCTCACAAAACCCACGAAGATGTCCCTAGATCCTGAACGTTATACATATTGTTCATAATGGCAAGGCCAAGCTATTCGATTCTCTCTGTTGCGCTCAACTTTATGGGAGACTTAAAACACTGCTGCTTTTATCTGGTGGTTTTCAGGTGGATGATCTCGCAATTCCAACGCCTTACTAAATGAAAGGAATTGCACAGTATCCATCTGTCATCCGCCAGATGATTAGCCCATCTCGGAGTTTATAAGGGTGCAGCAATTTTTATCTGAAGAGATGGATTGCAGTACGTTGTAGTATGGTGGCCTGTTCGTGGTTTAAATGTGAGCTCCGGCTCTTCTGTGTGGTGCAGACGTTCATCCGCTACTTGAATGGGCTTTCACAGGGTACTCTGGCTTCTAAAATCTAAAGTAAAGACTCTGAAATGAAGTAACACTACTGAAATGACTGAATGGGTGGCTAAAGGGTTACAGTATATCTCCTGAGCTGCGACAAGCCGTTTGAGCGTTTATTTGTTATAGTTTGTTTATCTTAAGGTCCATGCATACTAGTACGCTCTTTTTCCTCGCTAGCAACACAATTTAGCGCACTGGTAGAATGACTGCATTTTATTAGTAACATTTGTTCCACTGCTAGAGCTACTTCTGGCCTACTAGTATTAAATCTTTTCAGTAAACAGATCTGCACCAAGCCCAACTACTGTAGTAGCCTCTTGGGCCCTACTCGTAGCACCAAAATGCCTGTTAGTAGTTTTGCCTTACTAAGGAATGAATGTGGTTGTCCTACTTCTGAGGACAGGGTGTACTAGTACAGGGGCCTTTGGCTGTACAGGGACGATACCAAAAATGTCAAATTTGAGGCCTGCAATCTGTATTTGGCCGGCCATGTCCTTTTTATGTGTCCCATCAGAGCTATATGTGTAAATGGTCGTCTTAAATTAAGTGTCCCTCAGACCTCCATGAGTGTATACCACTTGTGTAAAACTCGAGGCCTGGGAGCCATCTTCAGCCTGCCATGTTGTTTGTGGCCCAATGAAGCAAATAAAATCTCATGATTCTTACTAATTGTGTGTCTCATTTTGTCAGAAATTCAAACATCAATCAACATGTGTTGAACACTGATATTTATATTTGATTGTCACTGCCCCCCCCCACAACTGCTGATTTTTGAAATCCATTTTTTGTTAAAAATATTAAATTCAAGGGAGTTCGTTTACACGTAATATGGTGAGGTGGAAAAACCTCAAAACGAGTGGTCCGCAATTAAAATGAAAAAGATACTCCTGGAATAACTGCTGAGTCGTTTTAGTAGTGAGTTTTCTGTCTGCAGAACACAAAAAGTGTGGTTGGCATGCAGGTTGACCGCTAGATGGCGCCATTGACACTCAATTGATACCAAGTGGAGGCGAGATATTTTGCTAACAAGCGTCTCATTTGGCGTTTAAAATTAAGAGTGAACTTGAGAGATGTGAGAACGTGTAACTCAATAGTTTGCATTTGAATAAATTCATTCCCAACCTTGTTTGTCTCTGTTGTGAATATTGTAGCACAAAGGATCACGTGACCCGAATTGCATTCAATATTATTCTCGGGACCGTTCATTAACACAACTGCGCCGCATTAATCGTACTCGGGCATCGTTTCACATTGCTGCCGCTGATACGAGCACCAACGAAGACCTCAATGTGCACGAAGGTGTGTATATGTGCACGCCCCTTAGAGAGCGCGCGCGCACGTGCCTTTAGTTGACTCGAGCAGTGTTCGGTGGAGGAGATCACAACTTGCCAGCGTCGGAATTGCTCGCGTGGTCGCTGGAGCTCGACCCGCCGAAGGATGCTGACCCACAAGCTCGCAGACTCATAAATCCGGCGCTGAAAAAAACGCATCTTCGAACTTTGAATGCTTTCATATGTTTTTACAGACTTTGATATATGACGTTTTTGTCATGGCAGTGAAGTTTTGCTTTCCAACCATGTTTAGTTTAAGAGTCAGCAGTGCCCTTCTCTTGTGCGCCTTCCTCCGGTTGTTCTCCGGGATCGGCGGACAGGTGCCGAATTGCCAGGAGGTCCGCGCCGTGTTTCACACTCTGCACCCGGGGTCCAAGTGGGTCCCCGAAACCGCCGTCTCAGGTAACTACCTCGCTCTCAACAGCATATCCGTGAATTTGCCCCTGATTGTTAAGTTAACCACATGTCGATTTAAACTACAGTCCAGTATTCCAGTTAAACTCTACGTACTGTCGATTTAAACTACAGTCCAGTATTCCAGTTAAACGCTTCCTCTACGTACCGCGTATGAGCTCCTTTAACCACCTGCAAGTAGCAGAAGTGGCACACAACCCAGGCTCCTTAGCTCAAATCGTCCTAACCTGCAAAATAAGATGTTAAAATTCAACTTCACTCGTTTCAAACAGGAAGGGTGGAAATCAATATAAGCATATGGTTGATTTCCTTGGCTACTCTTTGATTTTGTTTGGACCAAATTTGACATTAAGTTGTAATGATGGAAGGAACACAAATCAAGACTAATGGCCTCCAAGAAATTACTGTGATCACAGGCAAGCTTGCTTTCCTCGATAGTGGATAAATTTAAATTCACACCAACTTTAAAAAAAATAAAATAAAAAATACTTGGTTAAAACAAAATGACTCAAAACCTGTAAAACAACCAATTCCGTTTTGGGAAGGGTCGCAAATGTTCATTATCAGGTGTTTGAGTGTCAATGTCCTCCAGGTGAACTGTCACACTCCATTCTCCTTTTTCTCTTTGCCAGTAAACGTTCTTCCAAAACAGGAAAGAGTGGAGCAAATGTGAAAAGGCTGCAACTTAAATAGCGGGGAAGAAGCGTGACATGCATTGGGGAAAAAAAAAAAAATTGGCTTGCCCTCTCGACATTTCATATTCATCTCCCATCTGCGGGTACATGCAGCTCCCGCAACGTGTTTTCTCCATGCATCCACTTTTAATCAAACACCCTGCACCTGGGCCAGCAGATATCGAACAGCCGCTGGGGAAAGATCCATAGAAATATTTAGCCTCCACCAATCTCAAAGTCTGTCTGTCTTCAACTAAGGAGAGATAGTTCAAGAAGTAACCTCGCCGTGCTGTCAGCCAAAGGACAGTTCGTCACAGTTGCGGCACGGTTTACTTTTCCACACGCACATGACACCTAGAGTTGCCCTGCTACAATTTCGTTAAAACGTTAATCAGGATGACGTGCCCAGTTGGGATATCTATTTGGAATTATACAGTATATTCTAAAGGGACTAATTGCTTCTGTCTGTCAGCTCGACTAAAACCTCTGCAACACCCTTTGATGTAGCTTCAAGGAAAGGTTTAATATTAGGTGCACCAGTACCACCTAATAAGATCCAATACAAATGTTCCATTTTGATGAACGCTGTAAAAGATAAAAGATATTAAAATAGGATGACATTATTGTGAAAGGTGTTCCCTGCTGTTTTCCTGAAGCAGCTAATTTAAAGGTGGCGCAATTAGATGCATTGCCTTTGGACACCACGTCAAATGTCAATGAATAATCATTCTTTGTTTCATCTAAGTGCTTTTCTAGATGCTTACTGATGCTTTACATCAATGGGAAAACAAATTTGAGGAAAATGTGGTTTTGTTCAAATGTTAATACTTCTGATAGGCAACACGGTGAAACAGCGGTTAGCACATGTTCCTCAGATGAGAGGTCCTGGGTTCGAATCTCCGCTCTGGCCTTCTTGCATGGAGTGCGTTTCCTCTATGGGTTCCATAAAGAGGGTCGACTGAAAACTCTAAATTGCCATTGGGTCTCAATGAAAGTCAATGATAGATATTCTGTATGTACCATGAATTTGGCTGGTGACCAGTCTTTGGTGTACAAAAAGTGATATCCTGCTCCCTTATGACCCTAATGAGGAGACGCAGTAAAGAAAACAATGGACGGGTAATACCTCTGACAGCGTCAATCAAAAGAGAACACTATGTCTACAGAATGTGTTGGATTTCTTTAGATTGTGTCAGTATACAGGTTCTGTGTCAGTGCTAAACAAAACTAGATATTTTAAGTGATATGTCTACTTTTTCTTTTTCCATTTTCCATTGTATAATGTGCGTGTGTATTTGTGTGTGTGTGTGTGTGTGTGTGTGTGTGTGTGTGTGAGTGTGTGTGTGTGTGTGTGTGTACAGTACACACTAAGACACCCAACTGAAATGTGTGGATGTGAAATGAGTGAAGAAGTGAAAGTGCGATGATGACTTTGTAGGAGGCTTCAAATGTCCTCTCACACAACAACAACAAACAATCAATATGACATTATTCTAATGTTTCCTATCGCGGGAGGTCAAAAGAACATGATTAAGGGATAATTATCAGGATCAAATGTCAGGCAGGCAGCTGGAGAGGAATAAACAAGACTAATGAAACATTTAATCTCATTTTAAAAAAAACATTTTATCTTTATGTCCATAAAGTTTGGGGTGCCACTTTTTTTTTTTTTTTGTCATCTGTGCTGAAACAAATACTTTTGTCTTACATGGATGAAGATGGCAAAGAATTTTGACAAATGTGCACTACTGGACCTCAAGATGAGAGAGCCGCCCTAGAGCCTCATCATATACCTCGCAAATGTGATAAAAACCCTCCCGAACTGTTGTACGAACATACTGACGTGCAGTCATTTATGGTTATTAACAATGTGTTGAGTGTTAGCTCTCCTTCACAGTAAAATAGTGCAGTAAAGTGATCCAATGTTTGTATCAAGTGGTCGGTGGTATTTCGCTTTGCCTTATAAAACCCAACTTGAGAACTGTGTTTCATCAAACAATAGTTTTCGGTTAACACTCAAATTTAACCCGGCTATGGTGGTGGATGCTTCTGTTGACTGCAAGCTTTAAACTCATTCTTAATTATAGTCAGCAGCGAAGAACAAACACCCCTGCCGTCGATATGGCACCAAAACTAGCCAAAAAGTATGATAAATGATGTACTGTAAGTCTAATTCAGCACACATTTGTCTTTTATGTCGTCGAAAGTCTTTGTGAAAATCTCTGTTTAATGATGCAAACTTTTTTTCATTCAAGTCCAGATTGATCTGAATGACAGGATCACATTTCCGGTTTTTAGATCACTCCTTCATTAAGTATCTTAAAGTAAAGTAAATAAAAATCAGGAACACTTACATTTTTTAAATTAATCCCATTTGCCACCACATCAATATTGAGGTTGGGTGTAAACGGTGTTTTCTAATTCCTTCATTTTCTCTTTTTTGATTATTGTTTTTAGCTGTGAGCAAAAATCCCACGTGGTTTGAAATTACACCAGTAGTTGATCTATAATGTATGCTCTCAATGAATACAATTTTTAATACCTTCTGTATATTAATACCAGTCCTTTTCCCTTATGTGTCATCATTAAACTTGCATCATAGTAATTGTGTAATTGGTGCGCAGAAACTGAAGCGGTGCACTGTTCTGTGGATTAAATTTGTTAGACATGTGAGAGGTCATCCTCAAGATCCTTTGCTTTCTGTAAAGACACGAGTGGGATTGTCAGGGATTTTTTTTTTTTTTGTTGAGCTAGCCTCAAGTGCCCTGAAAAACCTTGACGGCTGTTCTGCATGTTGAATTGTTTGACCCCCCACCTCACTTTCACTATATTGATTGAAAGTACAGAATTGAAAGGCATCACCTTGAGCTGAGTTTGTATGTTTGAGGGATTTACACGTCAATTGGTATTAGTATCTATAATTGGCATGTACAAAAAGGAATTCATATGCAAGTGAGGATTTTGATCCCCGAATTTGATTAACCTCAGGGTCAATGACGTGTCAAGCCTCTCAGACAAAACAAAACCATGCAACATTGACAAAGTAGGGGACCACATCTTAGCACAGTACGAGCTGGTACAATCAAACTCACAGATGTTTTTGGATCAGAAAATGATTTTTTTTCATTCTGATGAATTTAACTCATAAAGCGCATTTATCATCTGCCCCTTGACGTGTCTATGTTGTCTGATTTGAAAGTTTCATTCCAGCATACTTCCTCTGCATTGGTTATGCTAACCATACTGTTGCTGACAGTTTAATAATTTTCCCCTGCAGCTTGAAATTGAGTTGATCTTATCAATTGGAGACCATCGTCGGTATTGCTTCAAGGTTCCAAGCGTGCACAAAAGATGTGACAGTTTTATTCCCTTATTCACTGATTAGACTGCGCTCCTCCACCAGGTAGGGGAGTCGGTAGAGATCAGGATGTTTGGTGAACTGTTTTGCAGTATTGTTCCCTGATGCTCGTTCATCAGTTCCACTGACAGTCGGGCGGGTGCATCTCCTCACAAAATGGTCATCTGCCGTCTGCCATTTATAGTCTCAAGTCCATTTCTCAAGATCAATAGCTTGAAGGGCCAATAGGCATTCACTTTTTTTAGGGATGTCCCGATCACACTCTCTCTCACTCTCACTCTCTCTTGCTCTCGCTCTCGCTCTCGCTCTCTCTCTATATATATCTCAGATGCACACTCTTTTCTTATTGGATCGTGTCACGGTATCAGCAGATGCTGAAAACCAAAGACTGACTTGGGTGCCAAAAAAAAAGTCTCTTTTATAAGGCGAAGGCAATACTATTTATATCCCAACATAGTAGTTCTGCTGTTGAAAAGGACTTTGGATATCTGAATAAGCAAAATAAAAAAATGGATGTATGGATTGATTGATGGAATCAGTTGTTTTGATTTTGCCTTTATAGCTCACCGCAATGGATTTGAAACAAGATAGTCAAGATGTAATTGGAGTACACACGCTCAGCTTGACTTGAAGAGGTATCACAAAAATTATTAACATTAAGGAATGACTGCCTATTTAACAATTTAAAAGGGTTAAAACTGCAGTCCCATCTAAACACTGAAATACTTTTTTCTAAAACAGAGGACATTTGCATGTGCATGTGTGTCACATTCATTCATGAATAAACAGCGGAGAAAATGTCTTGGCAAAGTTCAACATCATCACAAATAATAAAGAATGCAAATTGCTAAAATATTAATGTGTTTCGGCAGCCCCGTGGTCCAGTGATTAGCGTGTCGACCTCACAGTGCAGAGGTACCAGGTTCAATTCCAGCTCCAGCCTCCCTGCGTGGAGTTTGCATGGTCTCCCCATACCTGCGTGGGTTTTCTCTGGGGACTCCAGTTTCCTCCCACATTCCAAAGACATGCATGACAGGCTGATTGAACACTATAAATTGTCCCTTGGTGCGAGTGTGAGTGTGAGCGTGGATGGTTGTTCGTCTCTGTGAGCCCTGCGACTGGTTGGCAACCGGTTCAGGGTGTCCCCCGCCTACCGCCCGAAGGCGGTTGGGATAGGCTCCAGCACCCCCCGTGACCCTTATGGAGATCAAGCGGATCGGAAAATGGATGTATTAATGTGTTTCTTGTGTTGGAGTTTCCAATTGAACTGGGCTGTCTATTTATTACTGCAGTGTTTGGTGCGGTTTTGTATGGGGATTGACAAAAGTGACTTTGCAACACAAAGTCACTCGCTCCAATTACCGGAATCACGCAACATTTGTCTTAATTGTCTCCCTTCCTTCGAATGTCAATTTATGAAATGAAATCCAGTTATTGTTCAGCTACCATGTCGAGAAATATTCTTAGTTTATCCACGTTTGAGAAAATTTTGTGAGCCCAATTAATTCTTATCATTCGATGTGTAAACGACCGAGGGAATCACTTGGCAACTGCACATTTCACCCTCGCCAGTCTTACCAGCGGTCGTGTTATCTAAGAACATGCTGGCTTTGTTTGTCTGCAAGAAGCACTGCTCCTGGCTCCCAACTTTGTGGGGAAAGAAAAGACTTTTGATCTCACTGAAGCCTTGAGTGGTCCCGAAGTTTCTCTTGACCAAATTGATCTCTGTGGGAAACAACACGGCGCAAGTCTCCAAATGACTCATATTTTTAGCAGCTGTTTATTTTTCCCGAAGCAACACTGGCTTTCAGAAGAATCTCAAGTTTATTCAGGCAGGATCTGGTCTGATGGCTGCTATGATGGTGTCCGATGCCGAAACCGTTATAAAATTACACATCAGTGGCAGTTTGGCTTCTTTCCTTGTCCTCATCAAGACTCAGACACTCATGTCCCTTTTGATTTCCTGCCAGGTGCTGACCTGCAGGTTTGCCAAACCAAAGGCCCCGCCTGCTGTTCTAAAAAGATGGAGGAGCGCTATCAGTTTGCCGCTCGCAGCAACATGGAGTCCGGCCTGCAAGATGTCAGTGCTCAACTCAAGCGTATTATCATCCAGAATGCTGCCATTTTCCAAGGTAAGCGCTAAGTTGACAAATATCAAATACGTGCGATGGTTTCAACTTTAGAAGCTTTTTATGGGACAATTACTGCCCTGATGTCCGTAGCTACATCCTCAGACGCACATTCACAATATAATGTGCCCGTCCGTTCTAGAAGCGGCAACGTGTTGCTGTTCAAATCAAGGTTCTAACAACAAATGGGAGATTGTTGAAGAGACTTTTGATGTCGTTTGGCTCTGGGTGGCAGACGTGTCGCTCCGGAAAGGGAAGGTACACTTCCATCCAAGACTGGGAGCTATACTGTGAACAACAGCAGCAATTCAGACACCCACTCAAAGTGAAGAGGTCATACAGGTGGTGAGATGATGCGTAATGTAACTCGTTCAAAAAGAGACTTTCAGTATTGTAGTCCCAGAAAGCACAATGAACACACACATGGCGAACAGGCTGGCCAAGTCTCCTATTGATCTTTCTCTCAGCATTTCATGATCGCTAAGCACAGTGAAACTGCCTGTGCGGTCAGGTCCATAAATATTGGACATCGGCACCATTTTCATGTTTTTGGCTCTTAAAACCGCAATGGACTTGAAATGAAAGAACAAGGTGTGCTTTAACGGCAGACGTTTTGATTTCATTTACAGGTACAGTATTTACATCCAAATAAAGTGTACAGTGCAGGAATTACAACAGTTTGTATATGTGGCTCCCACTTTTTAAGGGATCAGAAAATGGATCGTTTTCTTTATAGTCAATTATCAACTTGAAGGAGTTACAACTGCCAATAAGCCATAAAATCCCGTCTGGGTGTAACAAATTGATGTACAAGGTCTGACTAGTGTCGAGGGACACTTCATGCGGCTGCAAGACCCTTTGAGACTTTTTGTGTAACGGGTGCTGTAAATTGCTTGCGACAAAACTTCTTCACCGGGTTTATACCGCTTGCTTATGTGTAGAGAACTTTGGAAGGACACACACACACGCGCACACACACACACACACACACACACACACACACACACACACACACACACACACACACACATAAATAGACAGACACACACTGCAATTAAAACATGGGGTTTAATGGGGACTGTGCGGTTTGCTTGACTTGGTTGTCCACAGCTAACAACATTAGAGAGCGCTGTATTTTCCGAGACGGGGTTCAATACTAATTGCTTTAGCGAAGGGCTGCAGAGAACTCCAAAAACATCCCCCCGAACTGAAAATCCTTTTAACATCCTGGCCTTATCTGTCTCCCTCTACTTTATCTTCCTCTACTTCCTCAGACCCTGTCATCTTCTCTTTCCATGTCTGTCTCCGTCAATGTATTTGACTTTCTCTCTCTCTCTCTCTCTCTCTCTCTCTCTCTCTCTCTCTCTCTCTCTCTCTCTCTCTCTCTCTCTCTCCTCTCCTCTCACCCCCCCCCCACACACACACCTTCCTCCCTCTCCCTCTTCCTCCATGTGTTAATGCTACCAGTACAGGGAATTGAGCGTATACTCTTTGCTGTTCTGTTTTTTTCCACTCAATCCTAGCACAGATCAAAAGGCTTCCGCTCTCCACTCATCTATCTCCCATCTCTGAGTGTTACAGCTCTGCACCTCCTTCCCTTTGTGGCTCCACCTGCTTCATTTGCTTTCGCCCACCCTCACTTGTGCAGGAGAGGTGGCAAAAATACTCGCACTCTGTACCTAAATAGAAACAGGGATACCTGTTTTAATAATAGTTTGGTAAAATTAGTAGATGGATTGTATCAACTCCTTCAAAAAAAGTAATAAAGTCCAAAATCGAAATGAGCAAGTTCAGAGGAAAACTGTTGATTATGTATAATAGACACACAATAGTTTCCCCCTTTCATTAACTTGCATAGTGGTTGTAACTGAGAAGAAATAAAAATCACTGCAAGTAAATATTGACACATTAATCAGGACTGAAATGGCAACTTCACAAATAGACCGATACCCAGTGTGAAATCTGGCCTGTTTCATTGAACACAAAGCCGTCATACTTGATGGAAGCTACAATTTACTGTTGTATGAATGGCAACAGGTGGATACACAAGTTTAATTTACCTCTTGCCATCTAATGGCAATAGCCTTTTTAATTGTTCTGTCTGCCGCCATACATCACTCACATAGATGGATCAACCAAGATATGTCATAAATAATCATTCTTCTACAAATTGAGTGGAACTGGATCTCACGCCACTCCTGATGATCAGCGCACACTAGTCTGCCACGGCATCTTGGTTGGGGATGACGGCGTCAATACTCGTGCTTGTTTCAGACCGATCCGATGGTTAGGCATAGGTAAGATGTTAGGCCTTTCTAGTAGTGCACGGCGCTCACATACATATGCCTTCTTTGCTCTTTGGCAATCTAATGATCCCTGACTAATATCTTGATGGTATACTGAGGAAATAATGTGCATTGGAATAATTGCAGCGCAGCGCCTACTCTGATTTGTGATGGACTCAAATTTCATTTTGATTCCCATTAGCGAGATCATAATATCAACTTCCCCCGCGTGCCATGATTGCCTCACTCGTAATGGCCCGATGCTTTCAATTTTTGTTCAAAATGAGAATCTGCAAACCTGTTCTGGGTGCTCATCTTTAGAATTTGAAATGAGAAGTCAAAGTTGCACATGCTGGGAATTTCATTCCATAAATGAATTATGAATATTCTGTTAGAGCGTGTCAGTCAGCACATAATGTAGCGCAGTGGAAATGACGATGCGCAATGTCATTGCAGCTGTCTGTGTCAATGCTGTGGGAGAAGTCGGAAATAAGTTACAACAAAAATACTTTGAATTAGAGGTGGTTGATACAACGATATTTGATTGTGAAGAACTTTCACATGTTAACGATCTCATGAAGCTGAAAGATCATGACATTGTCTATAGGGCACATTCTATCCAGTTCAGCTCTATTGAGGCCCAGAGCCGCTGACGTGCACCCGTACAACCAATCACAGCATGCATAGTGAACTGTGCAGTCAATGTCCTGCCTCCCTGTTTGTTTGTATAGTGGAAAGACAAGGCCCAAAACCAAAGTGAAAAAGAATTGGTCCCGAAAAAATAATTCCACCTCCATAGTGTGGACTTGGTTTGGCTTTTCCCTCATCGGACAAGGCGCAAACCAAAGTTATATGCAAAGTTTGCAGAGACTCTATTCGGATGTCGGATGGCAACACGACAAACCTATTTAGCTTTTTAGGGTTTTTACATACATTTTAAATATGTTTTATATGAGGAAAAAAGAATCATGATGAAAACATGAAAATATAGATTCTCGCCCCCCCCCCCCCCCATCTCCAACTCCTACTTTGAATGTAGTTTTATCATACAGGAATAGTCAAAAGACCATGTGATTGCTATTACTATGTCATGTACCTATGACTGCTGCCATATGCTACTGGTAATCATTCATGAGTCATTGACTGATTATTTAGACAATTTTTAAAATGCCATTTTGCCTACATTAATTCCACTACAGTTAATAGTAATAAAACAGACTTAACCACAAAACACTCGGCCTTGAGATGGCACATACAGTATGTGAGTCTTACCGCTTCGAATGTCAATACACAGATTTTTTTTTTCTTCTATTTTTCCGTTTGCCTTATGACCTATTGAGACTGGTCCTTCCTTTGGAATGTTGTAAGTGGTGGCAGCAAAAAAGCCGAATAAAAAGCAAAACACACTCCCTTTAATAGTCAGTAAACTGTGATACATACGCTGAGGTCTCGTGTGAAGTTACATTATGATGAGTGTTCACTTCATAGCTGAACGACTTCAAAACGCTTTTTTTCCACAGAACATCGTGATTGAAGGCAGCAGGGTAGAATAGTTGTTAGCATGTTCACGCTCAGTCAAGAGAGCAGCACCTTCATGTGCAGTGGAGCAGGCAGAATTTGTGTACATGTGCTTATACAGTCCTTGGGTAAAATGGCACATCCACAGACCACAATCCTGTCGGCTCAGTTTCATCACAGTCCATTGCTCCTTTTCAGCCGGTGGGGTAACAATCCTGACCCTCAAGGCAATCACAACCAAATCCAAGGAGCAAACCCAATTAATAAACATGAGATGACAGGATTGGCCTGGATTGTTATAATGTCATGCATAGATATTTGAGCATGTGAGTGTGATATCTGCTTGAAAGTGGGGCAGCCCGGCCCAGTCCTCCAACACTCTTGATCAGTGGACTGTTCTCAAGGTCAGTGCATGGATGACTTTGGGTACCTTTTAGGCACAGACAATCTAGTAATGTGTTTTTTTTTTTTGTTTGTTTGCGTTTCATGCGCGCACCAGCTGCTTACCTGTCTGGTCTCATTTAAAAGCATAAGATGTACAGGATGCGAGCCATTCCAGCATGCGAGCACATTCCACAAGCAGCTAACAAAGACTGATAATACTGTGTAAAGGTTTGAAGTCAATAGATTAGATTTGCACTGTTTTATCTGTTTTTAATACAGTACACAAACATGGGGAACATGTTAGTCGCATCAATGACCCCCGCCCGACCCCCCCACAAAAAAAAAAAAAAAAGAAAATATGTACAGATAGTTCCAGTGTATGGAAAACCGCATGCGAAACAGGATCACTACGTTGTTACAAAGTAAGCCAAGCCCATCCTGAAAAAAACACAAAAAATTACCCTTTGACAAATGATGAGTGATAGAAAACGTCAAAAAAAACTGATGGTCTAAGGCAGCACTGACGGAAGTGGGTTTTCGTCCATCGATGTAATCGTCCCTAAACAGGTCAGTATCGACGGGACTTCTCATTCCGTCACTAACGGACTGCCGTTTCAGTGACAGCTGATGGAAATACGCGCTACACGATTCGCATCATTAATGTTGAAAGCTGTAAACAAGTTTTGGAGCAACATATGCTGTCACTCAAGCAGTATCTTTTTCAGTGATGTCCCTGCTTATTTCAGCAAGATGACACCAAACTACATTCCGCATGTGTTGCAACAGCGTGGCTTTGTAGTAAAAGAGTGCAGGTCT